CGCACGCCGCGCACGCGTACACTGTGCAGTGCAGTGTGCACCCGCAGCAGTAGTGTAGCAAGGCCGGCGGTCGCCGCCCCGCCCCGCCACGCCCCCACTTCCATTTTCTCGGACTCCTCGGAGACAACTGGTTTTCAATCAAGGCACACACGACGTGCGCGGCCCGGCGCGTCATAAAAACAAAGAGCCACGGAGGAAAGAAACAAAAACAATAAAAGCAGCCAGCGAGCGCAGGCGCGGCATGTGTGAGGGAAAGTGTTCCTGTCACGCAGTCACGTCACCGGCGCAGAACTGAACCGGAGCAGTCGCCCACATGCGACACGATGACGCTACCTTACGCCACCTTTCTAATCACTCTTCGTCTTCTTTTTGCGACCTTTGTTTCCTCCGAGCTCCCCGACGAGGCCCTGCTCGGCGTGCCCTGCTCGGCGTGCCCGGCCTGCCCCAGTGCCTCACTGCTTTTTTGCTTGCTCCCTGTTTCTAAACCCGGAGCGCCTCCTCCTCCTGCTGCTCTTCTTCTCCTCCTCCTTATTCCACTCGCGGACGCGAACGCGAAACGAGAGGCGTTAAAAGATGGAATCGGTGCCGCGGTGCGCTTTCGTGCTTTTTTTTCCACGTTAATAAGCCGCAAAGAAATCCAGCGCCGCCGCGTGTTTGGCTGGCCGCCGCGTATCGCCCGCCGGATCGGCAGGAGCAGAGCCAAGCCAAGCAGCAGGCTCATTCCGAGAGTCGCTTTCGTCGCTCTGTCTCTCTCGCACTCGTGGGGTGGGCTTATGGGTGCGAGAGAGACAGAGCGACGAAAGCGACTCTCGGAATGAGCCTGCACGGGTGAACTCGAGCACGGCGTGCATGCCGTTGTGGGAGCCCAGCCCGCCGACAACCACCGCCTGCAGGCTGACTCTGAATGCTGCGACGCTCTGCGTCTGTTGGCACCCACACTGCCCACACGGAGCGCCCCGTGAGTGCGAGCGAGGCAGTCTTCCTGCGTCGTCACGGCGACGCCCCTTGCGACGCCCGTCGCGACGCCCGAACTGACAGACCGCGCTTCGTCATTGTGATTCCCAACGGCTGTGGATTGGACTGCCGCCCCGCCCCGCCCTGCCATTGCCTCACGTGTGGCGCCGGAAACTCGGTCAGAGCGGCTTGTTAGCCGGGGTAAGACTTCTGTGAACGGAAATTGCCCGGTTGTTTAGCAAAAATAAAATCGCCATTCTTTGACTGTGTAAATGTTTCATTCATACTGCCTGATTTCAGAGAGGATTGTGAATATCCGGAGCGCCGGAAAACAATGAATGCGTTGATTGAATGAAGCCGAGTGGTACTCCACCCTCAGGCGGAACAGAGCAGAATTTCTTCCTGGCCGTTTAGACATGTAAGCGAGCGTGCACGAGCGACGCCGCGACCCGGAACGCAACGCGTCTGACTCTGGGGCAGCGGGCCACGCTGCGGCGCCGTGGCGCTGAACCGCCGCCCCGCCCACCGCGACCTCGGCCCGGGCAAGCGCGGGCAAGCAGCTCACCACGCCGGACTAAGAAAAACAGCAATTGGCGCAAGTGCGCGCTCTACGTCCTCCTTGGTTTGAGGTGGACCACTGCACTGGCTCGGTTTCCTGCCCCGAAACTACGCCACTGCGGAGCTGCTGCTGCGGTCTCGGAATTGTGTCATCGTGGCGGTAATGTTGCTGAGCTGCGAGGCGGTCTCCTTAACGGCCCAGTGGAGTGACGCGAACAGAGGGTGCGGGGTTGTGAAATAAAGGCACACTCGGCACATGTGTGGTAAGGCGTCGTTTCGTTTAATCCAAGAAACAGGAACACGGTACGGACACGGAACACGGGAAGTCAAGTCGAAAGACAGTCGAACGTCCACAGAATCACAGTCGAAGGAGCACACGTGAATTGCAGTGAATTTCTCAAACACGAAATTCAACCAATTCGCTGTAAGCTCACTGAAGAATGTTCGTCATCGTCCAGCTAGCAGCGCGCCCGACCGCCGAACACGATGCTGGGAAGCCCCGAGTCCACGCAGGTCGGCGGCCTCTCCACCGACCTGGACCGACCCTTGGCGGCCCTGCTGGCGGGCGGCGGCTTGGGAGGGCTGGCGGGGCTGGCGGGGCTGGCGGGGCGCGCGAGCCCCTTCGGCGGCCGGGGCGGCAGTGCGGGGCCCTCGGAGCGCGCGGGGGAGGGCGGCGGCTTGGCGGCCAGGCGCGCGGCGGGCCCCCAGGACTGCACCTCAGTGATGCGCGTGGTGGCGCGCTGCCCCGGCACCATGCTGATGCCGATGGCCGTCGTCATGCGCCGCTGCGGCTCCACGGCGGCCACCCTGGGCCCCGCGGGGGGTCGCACGGGCGGCGGCACGGACGGGCCGCCGCGCTGCGCCACGCGGAGCACTGTCGGTGCCAGGGGCGGCGCTGGAGTGAGCGCGGAAGGCGACGACGACGGGGTGTCCGCAAGTCGAGGCTTCGCTGAGGCGGGCGGTGGCACGGGGGGCAGGCGCCGCCACGCGTCCACATCGTGGCTGCTGGGCAGCGGGTCTCGACGCAGGGCTGGCCGACGACGCCCCATCGTGTGCGACCGGCGCTCGTCCTCCAGCGGCCCGCCTGGCGGGCTGCTGGGCGGCACCCGGATCCTGGAGATGGTGGAGTACTTGTTGGTGGACAGCAGAGGGAGCACGCGCGTGGTCGGCCTGCGCTGCGACTCGGGCTGCAGGTCACCGACGTCCTCGTCGAGCAGGCTGCTACCCTGCCCGCCGTCCAGCTCGATCATGGAGTGGCGGTTGAAACGGGTCGCTGCCGTCGCCGCCGTCGGCTGTTCCGGGGGAGTCCGCCACGCGTCTGGCGCATCGGGCGACCAGGGTCGCGGGGAGGCGTCGTCCGGAAGGTGCAGTGAGTTGCGCTTGAGAGGCTGCGGCCGAGACGACGGTGGGTCACAGGACGGCGGTTTGACATCCGTGAGAGAGTAGCGCTTCATCGGGACGGGGCGGTCGCGGGCAGCTCCCGGCGGTCTCCTCATGACGACCTGGGGCACAAGCGGCAGGGTGAGACCGGACCGGCCGCTGAACCAACAAAAACACCTACAACAAAATCATACCTGAACAGGGGGTGGCGTGAACACAGGCTCTGGCGACTCTGGCTTTTCTGGGTCGACAGAGATCGTGTTGCAGTAGAGCCCCGCGAGGGACAGCCGCGGGGCGGGCTTGGGCGTGGCGGCGACGACGACGGGCGTCGTTTCGAGCAGCGTGCCGGGGGGCTCGCGCTGCCGCAGGGCGGGGTCCTTCCGGCAGGCCTGCCTCACGGGGGGGAAGTTCATGTCGGCGGCGCGGCCCGCCGCGTGCTCCGCCATCAACCTGGACACGGGCCACACCAGCGGCTTGATGTCCTCGTCGTCCGGACCGCCAGTGCCCCCGGGTTCGCACGGACACCGTGAGCAGCACGAGCAGCACGAGCACGCACACGAGCACCCTTGCGAACAGGAGTCCGAACTCGGCTGCACGCCGAGGCCGAGCCCCGCGCCAATCCCCAGGCCCTGGAACGAGGTCGGCGACGTCGCCGCCCTGCCGCCCTGCCCGGAACGCGCCCTGCGGATGAGCGTGGGCCGGGGCACGCCGCGGAACTTGAGCACGCTCTCCGTGGTGGACCAGCGGCGGCGCGCGCGCGGACGGGCCCGCGAGGCGCGCAGGAACTGCTCCCGCGGGCTGAGTACGGGGCTGGACGGGCTGCTGGAGGAGCTGCTGGAGGGGCTGGAGGCCTGGTGCGCGGGGTAGCCGGCCGTCGGGGTGGGCGCGTAGAAGATGGCGGTGGACGCGGGCCGGCACAGCCCCATGATGGCGCGGCGGTAGTCGTCACGGTACGACTTGAGCATGGTGGATGGGTACTCGGGGTGCACCTGGGTGGGCAGAGGCCACAGCGTCCCGGACTCCTGCTGTTGTTTCTGCTGCTTCTTCTTCCTCTCGGGGCGGACGGGCGGCAGCGGCGGCGCGTCCTGGGGCACCGCGGCGTCATCATCCTGGACGGCGGTCTTCTTCTTCTTGCGGTAGAGCGCGGGCAGCGTGAAGCCTCGGTAGGACACAGCCAGCGGCCGCTTCTTGGATCGCCGCACCGAGGCGCGGCGCCGGAACAGGTGCATCTCGGCGGCACCGCGGCGACGCACTCGGCCACCAGCACGGGGAGCGACGCGTGCTGCAGCACGGCCAGACGACGCCCATAGCCTGCTGTCCGCGCTGGACTGAGGCGCCGCGTGCACCGAGATGCGCGGCGCGGCAAGGCGCAGGGGCGTCGCCGCGTCTCCGCCAAGGCGACGCTGGGGCGGCGGCTGTGTGCACATCTCGCCACCCACACGCACTTCGCCATCTCCTCCTCCGCCGGCCCCAGCCTGGCCGGAGAGGCTCCGGGCGACGCGGCGACGCACCATTCTATTATGTTCAGCTGATGTCCCGAGGGGCAGGGAGGCGGCGCGGCCTGCGCGGCCACAACAACAGCTTCCCCGCGCGGGGCTCCCCGCCGGCACTCGGCCAATCCGTGGCGCGCAGCACCGCGCCGTCAGGCAGACCGTCCGGCCGTCAGCTGACTCACTTGGCGGGCTCCCCTCTCCTTCTCCAGCCAAGGACGCGGCGCCGCGTGGACTGCTGTCCGACTGCTGTCAACGTGACATACTCGCTTCATTGTCCGAGGCAACAACCCACCGGATAGTAGCGTCACGCTCAACGGCCTGAACGGCGTGATCGTTAGGAGGCAGCGGCCTTCCTCAGAATGCCGTCGACCCTCTCGGCTTCGGCTGCTTCGGCTTGCGCAGTTCAACCGACGCGACTCGAACCTCGGCCAAATGCTTCCCACATGCAATAGTTCTGAGTTATTAGTCATCGCAACGACATATTGGTCCTTTGTTTGTCTTAGGGCACCTTCTATAAATATTGAGATTTGTTTTAAACGCAGACCGCAAAATTAGAGAACCCACAGTTACCTCCGCATTTCTTCGTCTTCGGGGAATGAAATTAACGCAACAAGGTAATGTGCACATTACATTTTAATTCTTTTTTTGTCAAAACACTTATAAACTACGGTACAAAAACAATATTGAAAAAGATAGGCTATTTACAAAACCACAAACAAATAAACATTGACTCTCATTTGTACTCCATTTGTGCTGGACTGGTTCTCTATCACTGGCATGTGACGAAGGTCTGGGTGCAGGGGTGGTTGGCGTCGAGCTGCTTGCTCCTCAGCGTGACCAGAGGCCCGGGTCCGCGCAGGGCGACGCCGGTCCGCGCGTTGAGTCTCGCCTCGCTGAAGCTGTCGTACTCCGGCAGCACGGCCTGCGTCGCGTTGACCGCGGTGGCGGTGCGCGCGCGGGACAGCCCCAGCACCGAGGAGCACGCCGTGTCGGCCGCCTGCGCCACGTCGCCGGCGCCGCAGTACGAGTGCCACGACCCGAACGACCGGTGCACCACACTGCCGGGAACCCTGCAACAACATTAAAATCAAGTACGGGTAAATTAAAAAGGGTGAAATTAAGGACGGCGAAATTAAGGGTAAAATTCATGAGTTTGAATTGAGGCGTATTTTCCCTTGGTCAAACCAACAAACAGACGGTGCCACGTCAACAAGGCGAGCAAGTGACTCACATGGCGGGGTTGAGGGACTCCACGGCGTAGCAGAACGTTTCGTCCTCGCCGTCCGGGCAGTCGTAGTAGCCGTCGCAGACCACCTCTGGCGCCACGCAGCGGCCGGACCTGCGCCAAACGTGCCGATGTAGGAAACCAATCATCACACGGCGGGGCGCTGCACTGCAACTAACGCCGCGAACTCACTTGCGGCAGAAGAACCTGTCCGGCGTGCAGGTGCAGAGGTCGGGGTGCTCGTCCGTCCTGTCCCAGCAGTGGCGGCGCCCGTCGCACAGCAGGGCGGGCCTGGAGCGCGCCAGGAAGGCGGCGCACGTGCAGTTGGCCGGCTCGTCGCTGCCGTCCGCGCAGTCCGGCACGCCGTCGCACCAGCGCCGCTGGTCCACGCAGCCGACGCCCGACGCGCAGCGGACCTCGTCCACCCGGCACACTGCAACGCGCAACGGGAAACGGCAGTGTAGTGCGAAGCTAAGAAGCTGCCAAGCGCCTGAGGTTAGGCAAATCACTCGGCTCGGAAGCGTGGCGGGACTGCCTATGCTGCAGAATGCAGGCGCTCGGGGGCGAGGATAGGCCGTCCCGCATAACATCGGTGCGCCGCGGGCCGGCCTATGCTGCAGAATGCAGGCGCTCGGGGGCGAGGATAGGCCGTCCCGCAAAACATCGGTGCGCCGCGGGCCGGCCTCTCTGCTTACCGCAGTCGCGGGAGTTGCCACCGGCGTCGCAGGCAATCCTCCGCGGCTCGCACGTGGCAGGGCTCTCGTCCAGGGCCCCGCGGCACTCCACGGCGCCGTTGCACACCGAGGACGGCGGCAGGCACTGGCCGACGGGGCAGCGCAGCCCGGGACAGGCAGGAGCAGGCGAAGCGGGAACAGCAATGTCGCCGTCTGCGTGGAGAGGAGGAATTAATCACGACGTTTATCGCGTTCTTTGGCGCATCACAGACACCATTCCGTACCGATGATGTTCCTGACGTGGCGCAGCATGAAGTGCACGGCGTCGAAGGCCACCGACCCCGAGAGGCCGCACTGGTCGGCCACGCTGTAGACGGCGGCGGGGTACCAGCCGGAGAGGGTGCGGCAGGCCACGACGCCGCTCCACGGCACCCGGACGGGCAGACTCTCGGCCGAGCACTCCGGCCCGGTGAAGCAGGTCCTGCCGTAGCCGGCACCGTCGACGCAGGTGGGCAGGTGTTTCAAGTGCACCGTCTCCCAGGCCCCGGTGGCCCCGCGACCCACGGCCACGCAGCTCATGGCCTTCTTCACCATGGCGTACCAATCAGGCAGTCCTGCCAAATTTAATAAACGTCAGAACGCAAAGTCCCTTGAAGGTGAACCTTGGCGCAGCCGTGCTGCCATGTGTTCTCACCGGTGGAGCGGACGTGCTTGGTGAGGACGGCGGGCCGCTCCAGCCGCAGCAAGACGGCGCTCGTGGAGGGCACGCGCACGATGGCGTCCACGCGGCGCGCCTGCTCGTACGGGCCCGTGACGCCCAGCTCGGAGCGCGGCCCGCCCAGCAGCACTGTCACGTAGGAGCGGCTGGGGCTGCAACGCGCAACGCGGCGCAACGCGGCGCAACGAGCAAGTGGTAAGTTAAAACGTGCCGGGAAAAGCGTCGCAATAAGTCGTGGCCGGACCGTTACTCACTCGAGGCTGCCGAGGGCCGAGGCGGAAGCCAGCACCCACGAGTCGGTGACCAGCGCCCCGGTGGCGAGGCTGGGCATGCCCTCCACGAGCACCTCGGCGTGCCAGGGCCACGCGAACAGGCCGCCCTGGTGGGCCAGTCCTGGCGCCTTGCTGCACGCCTGCGCGGTGCTGTACACCTGGCGGAGGCCCTGGACGGTGCCGCGGCCCTCGGGCAGGCCCTCGCTGGAGCCGCTGGCCGCCCCGGGAATCTGGATGAAGTTACCGGGGGCGCCGTCCACGCCCGGCGCACAGCGGACGCGAATGCCTGTGCACAGCCCACCGTTGGCAATGCCGCCGAGGCCGGGAATCAGGTTCAGGTTCACGGGCTTGTCGACGCCGGCCACCTGCAGCGGGCCCTCCAGGGGCACGATGCGCGGGCTGGACAGCACCAAGGGGCGCTCCTCCACCAACGTGTCGTTCACAGACTCCCAGCCACTGCAGCAGAAAAGGCGAACAGTGAATTCCATTCTGAGGCGCTGCAGCACGCTCTAGTCCGGCACCCACCTGAAGCCCAGCGCCACGCACGTGTCGGCGGCCCAGCTGGACACGCTGCGCGCCGAGCCGTGCACGCCGTCGCAGATGGGGCGCCACAGGCCGTGCACCTTGCGCGCCACCACGCCCTCGCGCTGCAGCACGGGCAGGCCCGAGCTGTCCACCTGCAGCGACACGCCGTCCGTGAGCGCCAGGCAGTGCGCCTCGTCCTCGCCGTTGGGGCAGTCCAGCGCGCCGTCGCACTCAAGGCCGTGGGGGATGCAGGGCGAGCCGGGGCTCTGCCAGCAGCGGTACTGGCCCTGCGGACACAGCGCGCAGCCCTGCTCGTCCGAGCCGTCCAGGCAGTCGGGGGAGCCGTCGCACAGCGCGTCCGGCCGCGACACGCGAAGGTAGTCCGCGCACCGGCACTCCATCTCGTCCGTGCCGTCCACGCAGTCCACGGCGCGGTCGCAGCGCCGCGACGCGGCCACCACCTGCGGCGTCCTGGGCGGGGAAGAGAACGCACGCTTTACCGAGATGACAACACCGGGAACAAACGAGCGGACGAAAACTAAACGCACCTCTTGCAAGCGAACGTGTCGTTGGCGCCGTACATGGCAGAAGCGGCCGCGGCCATGGCTGCTGCAGACGATCCGCCGACCACTCCGCCACCCACGCCGACGCCCTCTCCCTGCACCTGCCCAGCGCCTCCAACAGTGGATTCGATGGCGCCTTCAACGGCGCCTCCAACGGCGCCTCCAGATGGACCTTCAGTCGAGAGGCCGGGCGTTGTGTCGTTGCTGGCGAGGACGGGGGCCTGGCCCTGCGCCACGGTGGGGTTGGTCTCGTTGAAGGTCGCGTTCCCCAGGCCTTGAGGGACAGGGCTGCCCATCGCGGTGCCACTCTCGCTCGCAGTGCTGTTCCCGACCGCCTCTGTAGCAACGGCGCTGTTGTCCAGGCCAAGGGTGGCGTTTGCGGGGCCTGCGGTGGCCTCGGCAGGCGCAACCACCTCGGCCTCTGCTCCGGGTTGCCCCGCGTCCGTCGCGTTGCCCGCGGCCGCCACGGCCCCCGCCAAGTCCGGCACGGCATCAGTGGCGGTCTGGTTGACGGCGGCGTCCAGGTAAATCGGCGCAGCTGGACTTCCGGTCCCCGCCGTGCCGTTCTGCGCCGTGAGGTTGGCCACTGCCGCGCCCGGCTGATAGGTCGGCCAGGATCCGGAGGTGCCGTTGCCTGTGGCCGTCGCGTTCAACGCGCCGTCGTTGACAGTGGTGGTGTTGTTGGCGACGGGGCGCGCAGCGAAGGCCGCGGCCGGGTTGTATGCCCCGGCGGCTCCCGTGGAGTTGTCAACGGGGAAGGGGCCCACAGCGGGCATCTCTGGGGGCAAGAAGACGAACTGGGGAGGCTGCGAGTTACCCGCGGCCCCCGTCGCCGCCTCCCCTGCAGGCGAACTCGGTGCGTCTGGCTCGGCAGGGGCGGGTTGGGGAGCTGCTATCTCTGGTCCTGCGGCGGTTTCTGGTGCGGCGGGTTCCGGTGCGACGGGTTCCGGGGCAGCGGGTTCTGGTGCAGCAGGTTCCGGTGCAGCGGGTTCCGGTGCGACGGGTCCCGGTGCGGCTGATTCCGGTGCAGCAGGCTCGGCCGATCCTGGCTGTGGCGATCCGGCCCCCTGCTCTGGCAGTGGCGGCTGCGGGGCCGCGTCCGTGTGCTGCTGGTCGTACGTGTTGGTGGGGTCGGCGGCCGGGTCGGCGGCCGGGTCCGCACCAGTGGGCGGGAACACGACGGCGCCGGCCTCGTCGCCCTCCGCCTCCCTGGCGCCGTGCGCCCTCGCCACGCTGCTGCTGTTGTACGGCACGAGGCCCGGCGGCCCGCCGACGGCCGCCCTCATGAACGAGTCCAGCCCCCAGTCGCAGTGCATCTCGTCCTCCGCCTTGAGGCAGTCCACGGAGCGGTCGCAGCGCTTCTTGGGCGCCACGCAGCGCCGCGGGCCCGACATGCACTGGTAGCCCGGGCAGTGCAGCAGCGGCGTGTCGTTCACCACGTGGTCCATCCCTGCAAGCACAGTGCCATTAGGCCACGGCCGAGTCAGTGGCGTGCTTCGCAAGCAACCAACTCGAGGCGTACTTATCGTGTCGTGGATCCAGTGGATGAACCTGGATACCCTGGTGTAGGCGCCGGGCTCGTTCGGTCGGGCACATCCCTCGCCGTGGCTCACCACGCCCGCCGCGTAGAAGCGGGTCGGGTCCTCGGGCATCCTGGCGAAGGGGAGAACGCAGAGTGAGCAAAAGACAGCCTTCGCCTACTGCAAAGCACGTTGTCGTTGCCGCAACCCGAGCGGCGGGCGACTTGGGTCCGAACGAAATAATCCCTTTTCAGTGGGCGGGTCCGGAGTGGCCGGCGTTACCAGCACAAACATAATAAAGGGGTTGCGCCACGGGGATAAAGAGTGACCGCCGCGCTGTAAGCGGCAAGTCGCGGCAAGCACAACAAAATGACGAGGCCTTAATACCCCAGAGAAAGGAAGCGGCGTAGGGCTGGCGGCGTGGCGCGTTTAGCTGCGCGCCCAGCCTACAGCCGTCACGGCCTCCAGCGCCACGCAACGCGGTGCAGCGCCCTGGCGGACACTAATGGAACTAGCGCCCAAGCCCGCCTCACGCCGCCCCGCACCGCCCCGCTCACACACGCGCGTGCGCATCAAATAAAGTGGAATGAAATACTGGCCGCCGCAGCGCATACAATGCAAGCGACGCGGCCGGTGTGCGTGTTTTGTGTGTCGAGTTTCCCACGCCCCGCCCGTTGCCGCGCGTGGCGCACGAAGGGTTGCCTGCCCACCGGCGCAGCGCGCGGCAGTTGCCCGTTGGGCGGCCTACGCGCCGGGCGGGGCGGGGCGGGGCGGGGCGGGGCGGGGCGGGGCGGGGGGCGGACTCGCAGACAGACTCACCTGCAGAGCAGCGGGCCGCCGCTGTCGCCCTGGCAGGCGTCCTTGCCGCCCTCGTAGAGGCCGGCACACAGGCCGCCGGAGCGCCGGTCCTCGGGGTGCACGCAGGCCGCCAGCACGGGGACGCGCACTTCGCGCATGTGGTCGGCTGCAAAAGGCGAAGGTGGGTGTCAGTCGCGGCAGCGGTCTGAGGTTCGAGTACCGGGGCCACCGGGGCCACCGGGGCCGACTTACGGTCAGGGCCGTGCTCGACGGTGGCGCCCCAGCCCACGGCCGTGCACTGGGTGCCGGCCGGCGGGTCCAGCGGTCCGTGCTCGCCGCCCCAGTCGGCCAGGGCGATGGGCCGCACCCAGCGGTTCAAGCGCAGCGGCTCGGCCACGTGCACCAGCGCGATGTCGTTCCGCATGTCCTCGGGGTTGTACCTACCGGGTTGGAAAAAAAAGAGATTATTTAATGCTGAGACTTTTAAGTCAACGGTGGAAACTGGAACGCGGGAAACGACTCACTTGTCGTGCTTCACAACAAAGTTGATGGTGCGCGTCTGCTCCATGGGCGAGAAGGAGAAGCGGCGCAGCATGCCGGCCTGGATCTCCAGGTAGTGGCGCTCGTAGCTGCAAACAAGCGGAGGCGCGTTAATTTTAAGTTCAAATTGGTGACATCAAAACATTTTTCGGCAACTTTAAAACCCCCGACATAAAAGTGCACTGACAAGCAAATGCGTGGACCTACCCGTCGACGCAGTGCGCGGCGGTCAGGATCCAAGACTCGTCGACGATGACGCCGCCGCAGTGGAAGACGCCGTCGCGGTACATGGCCACCACCCAGGGCCAGGCGCCGGGCTTGGCGGGCTTGCCGCCGACCACGCGCGGGGCGGCGCTGCCTCGCCGGGGACGCTCCACCGGGACGGCGGCCTCCGAGTTGGCCAGGGACAACACGGGGGGGCTGGGGGTGTCGCGGGGGTTGCGGAGCCGGACCTGGAAAGCAACGGGGCGTTTTAATCGACAGCAGCATGCCGCGGGGATAGCTGGCCTACGGTGTGGCGGGGGGACCATGGGAGGGGGAGGGCTGGTATTGGTCGGCCATGTAGATTTAGAGCGAACAAGTAACAATGTCTGGCGGCGCCCCCTCCCCGTCGTACTTACGACAATCTTTATCGGTTGCGACAGCCTCACCTCTTGCCCGGGCTCGTCATACGATCTAGGGCTGGACGCCACCGAGTGCCTGGCCGTGGACGAGGACGCCGCCGGGATGCGCCGCAGCAGCACCTTCTCGGCGTCGCGCTCGCGCTGCCCCGAGGCCTCGTCGCCCAGGACGCGGTGCAGGGCCTGGGGGTCCAACTGGAACGCCACGCCGTCCTCGCCTGAGTTGTTCTGGGCAGCCAACCGAAGGGGTCACCTCGCGAAGCCCCTCTCCCCGCGCCTCCCCGAAAAAGCCTCACCTGCACGATGTCGTCCTCGTCCTGCTGCGTCTCCTTCATGCGGTGCGCCTTGCCGTTCCGGCTGTTCGTCAGGTCGTCATCGTCGTCCTCGTCGTCCTCCTCCGACGCCGCGGCGCGCATTTTGGCCTCCTCCTCGCGAACCAGATCAGCGGCCACTTCATCCAGCTGCACAGCCTTCCGATTACTTCCGCTCTGAGGCTTCATTTATTTCATCATTAACAACACGAACACGCACCTGATTGTAGTCCAGCAGCACGGGGTCCAAGCCCGGCGCCAGGTGCAGGTAGCGCTTGAGGCGCGTGCGCATGTCCTCCGGGTCGGCGAGCTCCTCGTCGCTCTCCCTGCTCCAGTCGAAGTTCTCGGGCCGGGCGCGCGCGTAGGGGCTCTGCGGAGGAGCCACCCTGGAACCGGCCAACATGGGTGGGCAGGTGACGACGGCCACCGTGGGGCACTCCGTCACCACGCTCAGCGCGCCCTCGCCCGCCAGGGTCAGCCACTCGCCGCGGTACATCGGGGGCGCCGGCGCCAAGTCGATGTTCACGTCTCTGGGGGAAGAAAAGTCAGTAAGTCACCTTCGCGATGTAAGACGAAGTGGCCGAATACCGCCACCACCAGCACGTACTCGATGTCCGGGGAGACGACGTCCCGGCAGGCCTGCAGCGCCCAGTCGCGGGCCACGCCGTTGCCGCACACCGGGTACCACTCGCCGCGGAGGTTGCGGTGCAGGAATCCAGACTGGTACGACACCGGCAGCGTCTGCAAGGAAGGACGCGTTGAAAGGCGGTAAACAGTGCAGGGACGCGACGGGGACGCTTCCTACCTTCCTGCCGGTGACGGCGAGGGCCAGCAGCGAGCACTCCGCCTCGTCCTTGCCGCTCGGGCAGTCCATGTTGCCGTCGCACCTGCTCGTCCTGGGCACGCACGTGGCGCCGCGCTTGCGCTCGCTGAAGTCGTCGCAGCTGAACTCGGTGGGGAGGCAACCTGAGAAACGCAACAGGCGTTGAAAACTTAGAAACAAGGGCGTTGTGAGGCGTGACCGGGATTCGAACCACTGACCCATGCAGCCGAGCTCGTCCTCGCCGAGAGGGCAGTCGAAGTAGCCGTCGCAGAGGCGGTCGCGCTCGACGCGGTCCCTGCAGGAGCAGTGCGCCTCGTCGCTGGCGTCCGGGCAGTGCACCGCGCCGTCGCACCACATGGACGCCATCACGCAGCCCGACCGGTCGTGGCAAGCGCGGTGGCCTGGCGGGCAGCCAGGGTCCTCCTCTGCAACACAAACAAGAGACACGGGGACTTGAGCCTCGCCTGCAACAGCCCGCTGATTGTGCTCTGCGTCTCCGTCGCGATAGGCACCTTCAACCGCCTGGCGACGCGAACCGTTGGCGGCCGGGCCCTCGGGCTCCGCCAGCCTGGCCCGTGACTTGCCCTCACCCACGCCGGGGACGATGGGGAACTGGTAGGTCGGAGGAGGGAGGTAGGTGCAGAAGATGGGGACCTTGGTGAAGGGCTGGAACACTTGCTGCTGCTGGATGGACACGGGAACGGCCTTGGTGGGGATGAGGGGGGTGAAGTTGGGGAAGCTCTGGCCCGGGGCGGTGGGATACAGCGGGAGGGTGGGGTAGCCGCCGCCCATGTGTTGATAGCCGCCCCCCGTTGGAGGGAGAGCGCCACCCATCTGCGGCTGCCCCCAGCCGCCCCCCACAGGCGGGTACCCTGCCCCCATCTGAGCGTAGCTGGACCCCATCGGCGGATAGCCAGCACCCATTTGTTGATAGCCAGCCCCCATGGGCGCGTATTGGGGCACAGGTCCCATTGGGACCATGCCAGGCAGAGGCCCAAAGCCCGCCATAGGCGCACTGGGTCCCAATCCCATCGCGGTGGTCATCCTGGACGAAGAGTTTGTGTTCTGAGGAAGTGGGCTACCCTTCGTGCTGTCCAGCTCGGCGTCGACCTGGATGCCGGGCCCGGTGACGGGAACGTGGTCGTCCAGCTGGTCGCTGCTTCGCGCCGCCAGTGGGTTGGGCACGCCGAGGAAGAACGGGTAGGCGACTGGCAGCGGCTGCGCCATGGTCTGCGCGGACTGGGGCTGCTGCTGCTGCTGCTGGTAGGGGAAGAAGGGCTGCAGCTGGCGGATGGCTTGGTACGGCTGCATGGGCGGCTGCGGGCCGGCGGGCCGCTGCAGCACGGGGGCGGCGTACTGCGGCGCGGGCGGGGGGCCCTGCATCACGTTGGGGGGCGCGTACCCGGGCAAGTAGAAACACACGGGCAGCTGCGAGCGGAGCTGCGGCACGCTGAACATGAGCTGCTGCGTCGTGTGCACGCTTTCCCCGGGGGCGGACAGCCCGGGGCCGGGGGCGGTCGGAGGGGCGGAGGGGGCGGATTGGTCGGAGGCGGACGGGGCTGGGTTGGAGATGACCCTGAAGGCCGCGCTCTTACCTGCGTAACGGGAGTGGTGACCGGCGGTCAGGTTACTGCCGGCGTGCTCCGGGTGCAAGGGCAGGCTGGCGTTGGCGGAGCGGCCGAAGCTGGGCTGGACGGCGGTGGCGATGCCGGTGGCGTTGCCGGTGGCGGTGAGGTTGGCCGCGGTGGCCTGGATCTGCGCCGCGACGGTGTGGTTGGACGCGTTGCCGCCCCCCGCGCTGCCGTTGCTGCGAGTGTTCGGCGTGTAGTCTGGCGGCACGGAGGGCCACACGTCCAGCAGGGCGCTGCTCGCGCTGCCCCTGCTGCCGTGCGGAGGAGGGCCGTGGAATTGAGGGGCTTGGCCGTGTGGGCCTTGAACCGGACTGACGTAGGGATCCGACTGCAGCTCGTTGACGATCACCATGATGTCGTCGGCCTCCCTCAGCAGGCTGGTGCGCATGTCGCCGAGCCGCTTCATGAGGGAGGGCTCGGCCTGCTTCTTCTTGCGCACGGACTCGAGGAACAGGTTGGTGGCGGGCAGCGTGCGCTTCCACTTGCGCAGCCGCATCAGGGTCTGCATGTCGTGGGCGGCGTCCTGGACCTGGCGGCGCGCTCGCGGCTTCAGCACGGGGGCGTTGCTGGACTTCCTCTCGCGCGCGTGCAGCGCCTCGATCATCCTGCCGATGTCGTGCGCCTCGGCCAGCAGCTTCTCGCGCTGCAGCAGCAGCTCCTCGATGGCGTGGCTGCGCGCCTGGCGCTTGTCGTGCGTCCACTGGTCCGGCGGGATGAGCATGCTCTGCACCACCTCGGCCAGGTCCACCTCTCTCTTGCGCCGCGCGTGCGCGTCCTCCGCGTCCTCCTGTTCCATTTTGGCCGCCTCGTCCAGCAGTCGTTGCCGGCGCAGGCGGAGCGCCTCCAGGACCTGGCCGTCGGACCGGCGCACGCGCTCCTCGCGGACGTGGGGGTCCTCCTCCACCAGGCTGGCCGGCGCCGGGAAGCCGTCCGAGGTGATGTCGTCGGGGCTGATGGCGTTGACCCTGTCGCGGTGCTCCATCACGTGGATCTCCTCCTCGATGTTCTCCATGAGCCTGCGCAGGTCGTCGGCCTCCTTGAGCAGGCGGCGGTGGAAGTCCTTGAGGTCGTCGTCGTTGTGGACCTGGTTGACGCGGGGCGCACCGCGCGTGCTGCGAGCCTCCCTGCGGTGCAGCGGGATGACGAAGGACGCGACGTGGCGCGGGTCCCTCACCACCACCTCCTTCACTTCGACGGCGTCGCGCTTGTCGAGGTGCGCTGGCGGCGGGAAGAGCTCGCCGATGGTGCCGAGGTTGAACTTGGCGTGGGCGCCGTCCGAGCCGCCGTGGAACACCACGTTCAAGGGGTTGGCGGAGTCCTCGGAGCCGCTGCCGTCCTCGGGGCGGCCCGGCCTGCCGAACACCCTGAAGGGCGACATGGCGAACTGCGCCAGGGGCCGGTCCTCGCTGCCGACCGTGATGGCGGGGAACTTGTCGTCGGCCGTGGGCAGCGCGGGGCTGTGCGGGCCCGCGCTGTGCTGCGCCGCGGAGAAGGCTGGCGGGGCCTGGCCGCGCCCAACCATGGCCCCGTTGTGGTTCTCTGGGTGGAAGCGGCGCACCGCCTGGCTCAGAAGGTTGATGTCTGTGCAAAAAGGAATCACAGTCAAGTTTCAGTGCCGCCAGAAAGGAAATTTGCCTAAAGAAGCGTTGGAGCTTACAGGTCGTGTTGTAGATGACGCCGACCACCAGGACGACGAGCAGCAAGATGCCGATGAACGCTGCGCAGAAGACTGCAATCTTCTGGTTCCTTTTTCTTTCCTCATCTGCGAGTGTGTTAACGGTTCAGTAACAAAGCATCTATCGTCTAAATAATTTTTACTGTTTTCCAAATCCAACTGAAGAAAAAGGAACGGAAAATCGACTCACAGTTGCTGGTGAACCGCGGCGTGTGAATGGCGCCGAGGTCCACGGAGAGCCTCTTCTTCATGGTGCCGCTGGAGGGCGCGCTCTGCTCCAGGGGGATCTCCTCGCCCTCGCCGGGAGACAGGGGGCGGTGCAGCTGGGGGGTGGGCGGCGGCGGCAAGCTCGTCAGCGGTGGCTGCGCCATCTGGCGGCAAGGCCGAGCAGTCAGTCAAGCCATCCCAAGGCAGCGAGCTGCCCGAAGTGCAGTGAACCCTCTCCGAAGCAGCCCTCCCGTCCGTGCTCAGCGAAATTGATTCACTTTCGCAACGGTCCGCGCGTCGCTGCGCAGTGCAGTTTCGGGCACGGCAGCACCCACGCAGGCCAACGCAGGCCAGAGCGGCCAGAAGCCACTCGGCCACCAGGAGTGACAGCGCTGCGTTTCTGCAAAGCGTTCCCTGACCCTTGATTGCTGACTCGCCGATTGATCGTTTATTTCGGCCCAGTGCCAGGCTCGTGTGCTCGTGTGTTTACCAGCGATTTGAGGTAAACCACGGCATGCGAGGACCGGGTGCATTTCGGCTAGCTCGTCATGAAGACGTTGCTATCGGACTTCGGACTCAACGCGGTAGGAATGGGCGTCTGAACGGGGAGGACGGGTCGCCCTCCCAAGGGCCCCGCTTTGACGAAGCGAGAAAATGGGGCCACGGAGAGAAGGACGAGGACGACCGCGACACGAGGACACACTGTGAAGGCCGAAATCTACGCGCTTCAGGAGGAAAGCGGAACTCGCTAACGAAGGTTGCGACCACAAAAATCATCTCCTCCGTTTCTTTGAACTCGGAACAATTTTTGCCATTAGTGAAAAGAAAACCCCTGGTACTCACTAACTATTAGTTTCAGTTTTAAGAAACTTTCCAGTCACTGCTGTGGCGTGCGCTTACCTCCGCCGGCGCCTTCTTGGCCGCGGGTAGCGGCTGCAGTCTTGCGGTCGTCGGGACGAGGGGTGACGACGGCGTGCTCGGCCTTCGGTCGCCTTCGGTCCGTCCGGGGCGGGGCGTCCAGCTACGTCCACTACGTCCACCACGTCCAGCGCGGAGGGCTGCTTCGCTTCAAACTGAGTGGTGCTGGCCGACGGCCTGCAGCGCGGCGGCGACGACGGCGCCCTCGTCAGCACGGTGGTCAGGCAGGGCACCCTCTCGGCGTCCTCCTCGCACCGACGGCAACGGCCGACGGTGCGAAAAGGCCGCCGAAAGCACGGCAGCAGCAGTAAATCCTCCTGAGGTTGGCTCTTCCGCGTGGGGGACAGAGACAGAAACAGTGGGCGGGTGCGCGCGAGTGCTTGGGCGTGCACTTGTGGATGTGGATGCGTCGCCATGGCCATTTCTGATGATGGCGGGACAGCGGGTGTCTTGGGTGCACCGCCGGCTGCGGCAGAGACGCTTCTAGAAAATTGGGAAAGAGGGTTTGCAACCAGGCGTGTGTGTGTGTGTAGACATGTCATCTCATTTGCACCTTTCTGTTGGCTCCTAGAAACAGCCAAACAACGACTGAGCCTGGACTGGCTTTACGCTTACCGACTGCTGGCAGCCCCAAGTGGCGGCCTGAAGGGCAGGCAAATAGCCATGCATTCTTTGCCCCTGGAAGGAAGCAAAAAGCGCCACTTTGCCACGCCTCCTCGGGCCGGCCCCGGATCCGCCACTGGGCAGCGAAGCCTACGCGTTCATTCAGTAGTTTTTGGTGGAGCCCGTCGATGCGATCTGTTGCCTCGTGCGCTTTCTGCGGCTGCGGTTTGCACGCGGTGCGGTGCCAGACCAGACCAGACCACAGCCCCGCCGTGTCGCCGCCATGGCCCCGCCGCCACCTGCGCCGTGGCGCGCCGTGGCGGTGGCGTCACGGCGTCACACCTCCGTCACGGACGTGCCGCGCCACACACTGGAAGTGCGGGCACGCGCCCGCCGCGTCCCGGCCGTCCCGGCAGGAGCGATCTTTGTTACCGTGGCGGTGCTGCAGGCCGCTTCCGAACAGTGCTCTGTCTCTCTCGCTCCCCCGAGGGGCGCCCCGTGAGTGCGACAGAGACAGAGCACTGCTCGGAATCGGTCTGCCTAGAGCCCGCGTGCCCGCGCTTGGTCCCCTCGGTGCACTTGCGCAACGCTGCGTGTTGGTTTGCTCGGTTCGCGGCGCGGCGTTCGTTTCGGCCCTCGCCCCGCGCCGCGCCGCACTTCCCTCCAGAAATTCGCTGACGCGCACCGCGCCGGGCCACCGCCACCATGGCTGCCACCTTGCGACGCGTCGGCAAAGCCCGGCAAACCGCCAAGCGTTTCCCTCTTTTCGCCAAATTCTCAAGTGGTGTCCGATGACAGCCGCGCGGGGCCCGACGCATCGCATCCTGCCTCGGCAGGCCTCCATGCACTCGGCATAATGGCCACGCCGAGCGCGAAGCACGCCAAGCCAAGCGGCTCACCGCAAAATAGTTTGTTTTCGGGGAAAATCCACTTAAAGTGGCTTTGCCGCCAGCGGTTCGAGGGAATTGCGCGCTCTATCCTGACTTGCATAACTCCACGGATCAAGACAACTTCAAAATTTCGATTTTGCACAGAAAATAAATGGAAGGGGTGGAAGAGTGCGCGGTTGCCTGGGTCCACACGGCACTTTCTCCACCAAGGTCAAACCGGCGAGCGGGCCTTAAACGCACCGTTCGGGGGGGCCTTCGTCAATCTCATGGCCACTTCGGGGGGCGTGCTCAGAGCCCTATAGCTTTGCTAACGCGATGCGAGCAAGCGCCTCCAGAGTAGGCAACTTAATTAACACTGAGCAAAGACCCAAAGAAACTAAAAACAGTTTTTTCCTCATGGAGCTGTTTTATGAGGCTAACTATGAGTCATACTACGGGCGTCAGACAGTTGGACCACCAGGAAAGGGAAAAGCAATTTACAAAATCATTTTTGATTAACTTACGATTTATTCCATCATGCTTTCATCATCACTGGATTCACTTGGTACAGGGGAATTTTGATTTGATTCAGTAATTGTTTCTTTGCTTTTCTCAGCAATTTTGGTTGAATAGTCCATGCTGATGTCTGATGATTCACTCTGAAGTTGTTTCTTGCCCAGTCTTACTAGCTTGAAGTTCTGAAGAAAGCGCAGCTCACCGTTCCATTCCTTCAATACTTTTAGTTGGGCTTCGTCCAAAAGATTAGGAAGCTCTGTGTGATAGAATTGATATTAAGTTAAGATAAGAGATATAAAAATTACTCTCTTAAAGAGTGAAGTAAAAAGAAATAAAAGAACAGTACATGTTAAAAAAACTGACCCAAACCACATGTGTTGTATTCCAGTCTCTCGGTTTCTTGCGTGTGACGTATCATATCTTCTCGACTAGCATGCTGCCGTTTGTTGCGCTGTCCAATCGAATGCTTCAATCGAATTTGTTCGAGCTCATCATCAAACCTAGCAAGATATCTGAAAGATGCAAATAACACTGCAAGTCAAAACTGATAATAAAAGAGCAGGTCAGGAGTGATGCATAAACACAACTTACGTCTGAATAAGTTCATCAACAAAAGCCTTAGAACAAATAGTCATATCGTCAGGAATCCTTTCTTGAAACCACAACAGCTTCTCTCCGATAAGGTTGTTTTTCACATGGGTCACCATTTTGGTTTTCTGTCGTGACTCTTTCCTGTAAGCAAAAATGACACATTCGGTCACTAAAACTGCAGTCGACTGTTAAAACTTGGTATATCGACACCATCATTCCACATACTTTTTATGGTTTTTGAACAATTTAATAGCCTTTCTACTCTTTGGATGAGTAATACTATCAACTGTGAGTGCTTTCTTCTGAGTTTTCGGCTACATATGAACGACAAAATAATAAAAAATATAAGAATAGATTAGTAATCGACAGGAAACAACACAAACACGAGACTTGTATAGGTTAGAAAGGCAGAAACAAGAAAGCTCTCGCACCATTTTGACAGGTTATGTTATTCTCTGAGGCTTGGTCACTAGACGAAACTGAACCACACAAAACCAAACGGGTCAGATGGTCAGACAGTTGACCTGTCCAAAAATGCAAGCATCTGCGGGAAAGATCAAGGTGCACGAGTGCAGCGTAAACGTAAACAAGCGACGGTAGAAAAATACGCCGCTCGCTCGCGCCATCTGTGGGTGGGGGGCGGAACTAACGCGGCTCGCGGGGCGCGCGGCGCGCTCGCGCGGCCGGTTCAAACGGAGACGCAGTAACGGACAATGGCCTTTCTTTCCCACGCGCCTTTGCCTTTTCACTGTAAGAGAGTCAACACAGATTTGTACGCGCTCGGCCACTCGGCCTTGCGAGTGAACGCATCATAATGAATGGCGATAGGGCGAGGAGGGCCCTCGGCAGGGCAGGGCGGGGCGGGGCAAATAATAGGCGAGACCCAATTCCGAGATCGAAACGAAACCGTGTCACAGTGCACGCGGGGCACCACGGGGCACGCAGCACGCGAATCTGAATCTGAATCGAGCGCGAATGGCGGTCAGGCACCAGCGTAAATAACGATAGCGAACGTGACTTCGGAAGGATGCTCCGCTCCTCCCTCCAACTCGGGCCTCGGCCTCGGGCCTTGACTCAGGCCGCGAGAAAACCCCCAGGCTCCCGGGCTTGTCAACAGGAGACTGATTCCGAGAGTCGTTTTCGTCGCTCTGTCTCTCTCGCACCGACACGGCACGACCCATCAGTGCGAGAGAGACGACTCTGAGAATCCGTCTGCAGGCGTGGTGGCGCTGGCAGTCGTAAGTTTGTCCCATTGCGGAGGACCTCTTGGCGTTCGGTCACTGTGCGGTCACTCCCTCAAGGAGTGTGGCGCAAAGCAAACCCTCCCCCCTTTTTTTTCGGAAGCCGCTGAAGAGTGTGTGCACAGGAGACGCGTGTGACGAGATTTACGCAAGTCGCAGCGTTGTGGTGCTGATTTGGCCCCTCGGGCCGAAGAGTAAAAATGTTTTTTGTACAAATACGTTCCATTGCTGTCTGTCGCAGCCTCAGACTCGGAGGGAGAGAGAGGAGGTGACTGCCAGGCTTCCGCTTAGAATAAGCGAAATCTCTCAAAAAGTCAAACCACTAGTGAGTAGGAAATTTCTGCTGAGCTACCGCGCTGGATTTCGCTGCACTGTTCGTGCCGATGTGAGTTTGAAACAAGGCGGGCGTGTCGGAAGCCGCGCGGTCGAGAAAGTGTGTCCGGACGGCCGGACGCTTCAAGAAAAGAGACACTACGCCGCGCCACGCCACGCCGAGCCACATCATCGGCCCGCGTCTCGCACGTTGACGCGAGTGGCGCAACGCGCAACGCGTCCAAGCTCGCGGTTGACGCGAAGCAGCCCAAGCACCATGAGCCCACCCCGAACCGAAGGGCGCAGCCGGGCGCTGCGCTGCAGGCCGATTCGTCGCTCTGTCTCTCTCGCACTCATGGTGCGTTCCGCAGAGGTGCGAGAGAGACAGAGCCTGCATGGCGCGCGTGCCGCGCCGCACGCCGCCGCCGCTTCCACTCCAGCAGGCCGCCGCGAGGGCCGCGCCAGCCAGCGTGGCCAGTGCAGATAAGCCTGCGACGGTAGCGTCACCCCATTTTGCCTCTTCTTCAACCTCTTTCCACTTTTTTCGCCTGGAAGCGAAGGGGGTTTATCAACGCGGTAGTTCCTGAGGCCACAAGTAGGCTGAGGTTGCAGCCCCCCACCCCACCGCCTGCGACTTGCCTGGGTACCTGATGCAACTCCCAACCGTTCATCAATCAGTGCGAATGAACGGGAGTAGCGGCGCGTCGCGGGCCAAGAAAAACAGGAAAAAACAGTGAAAGGCAATTAAATTATTCCGATCGTGGGTGTACTTGGGGTGTACTTGCATGCCCTGGCGGCGAGCCTGGCGGAGCGCCGCGCGCCTGGCCTGCATAAGGACCCGGTGTCCAGGAAGGTGTCACGCTCGAACATCAGCATGGGCGGTCTCTGTGTCACTGACCGGCACGACGTGAGGCGTGACGTTTCCGAGCACATCCGTGCCAATTTTGGCGATTTTGTCACAGGCCAGCGATTAATAATTCCCTTTCTTTCGACGTGCTCCGTTGACGTCACCGGCGATGGCATATGCATAGACTAAACGCGCCGAGTTCAAAGCGTGTGAGCATACGCGGCGTGCAACTTTCTGTATCTGCATGGATCGCTAGTGAGTGGAGCGGAGCGGAGGGAGCCCCCACGCGGAGCGAGGAGCGTCGGGCGTCGCGCGGCGCCCGGCGGCTGCGTGCGAAGCGCGTCGTTGCGAGAGGTGCACCGCCCCGCCCCGCCCCCCGCCGCCTCGCTTATTGTTTGCCCTTTGCGCCGAACAGCGCGTCGCGCCGTCTCTCTCGCACTCACGGGGCGCCCGGCAAGGGTGCGAGAGAGGCAGCACGACGCAGCTCTGTTCGGAATCAGACCGCACCGGCCGTGTAATGGTCTCTGCCCCGTCCAAGGAGGCCGGGCTGCAGGGTGGGGAGGGCCGGGCGTGTGCGTGTGTGTGCGTGTGTGTGCGTGTGTGTGTCCAAGGTGGCCGATTCACGCTGTCACGGGCGCGTCTGCCCCCGCCCCCGCGGCCCCGGCACTAGCCCGGGGAGGCCCGCTGAGCCCCACGCTGCGCTGCGGGCTGCGGGTGGGGTGTGGGGCCCCCAGCCCCGGCAGCCCCGGCAGCCCCCTGGCGGGCTCATCCAGGCGCTCTTCGGCCACAGTCTTGGCGGGACTTCGGCGCGGTGCAAACAGAATCGCGGAAGGCTAGGCGTGACGGGACTGCGGGACCCTCCGGCCAGCCATCGGCGTGCTCCGAGCTTGGAACGGCGACGCGGCGACGCGAGTGCAGTGCTTCGGGATTGGAGTTACCACGGCGAGCGGCGGTCCCAAGCCGTCTTCTTTCATTGGCCCCGATAAGGTTTGTGAAAGAGATGCCCATGATAAGAAGTGAATTCCAGGTTTCGATCTCGCTAAGTCATTTTTCTCCTTGGGTCGTAACTCGGTACTGGGCGTATAGGTGCTCTTTGTTCTAAAATATGCCAAGTGCATCGCGATATGTAGAAAATTTCGGTCATTCGGTTTCCCGCCGGTGCGCGTGTGCGTCTTATGTTTCTAAACATCATGTCCATCTGCATACCTGAAAGCATGAGATATTTTCCCACTCCCCAATTCAATTAAAGTAACCCTCAGATTACTGCAACCTAATGAAGGCAGCCCCGCGACTGCAGGGATTCAATGCGTCCGGCTTCTGGGTTCGTCGTTTCAGTCATGCGGGGATGCCCTGCCGTGGCGCCGCGTAGCGCTTCCGCGATTGCCCCGAATTTAAACGAGGCGGCGACGGAGGCCGCACCGCACGCGGCACGCATTGTCACCAAAAAACTAGGCCGACCCACTTTTAGGATCGGGTCGTTGCCCCGGCGAATCGGGCGGAATCGGATCAACCAGAGGCAACCGCAGGACATTGGCCGCACAATTTGCACTCGTCGCGACGAGCCCACGGCTGCCCGCGGCTGCCCGCGGCCCAGTGAGTGGACTTGCATTCATTTGGTGCGGAGGAGGGGGAGGAGGGTTGGCGCCCGGCGCGTCGTTCCGTCGCTCTGTCTCTGTCGCACTACAGGGCGTTCCGTAGGGGTGCGAGAGAGACAGCACGACGAAACGACTCCGAATCGTTGAGCTACCGAACGCCGCCACTGCACACCGCCTGGCCACCTGGCCGCCAAGCGCCCCGAGCCAGGGCCAGGGTTCAAGTACTGGGGGACGCTTCCTTTTTCGTCGGGCCTCCTAGGTGCCGTTAGAAGGAGGCTCGTCGAGTGTGGTTTCCACCATGTTTTAATGACTCTGCCAGTCGTAAAAGACGAAGCGACCCCGTCGGTACTCCATAATGTTCAACAGACGTGGCGCAAGCGGAGAAGACACTCTCGCGACGGACTGTACCCGGGGCCGTTTTCCAGCCTGAAATCTGCCGAAAAGGAGATGGCTCATCGCTGAGGGCGAGTGAGGGCGACTTGCGCTGACCTCGTCGACGACTACGGGGTGTTTTTCCTTTGTTGCACTGGTACACTAGTTTTTACAGTGTGTGCGTGGCGCGGTGGCCCGCGCGTTGCACCACCGCGTCATCCAGCGCGTTGGTCCAAGGGCAGCCCTTCGGCTTGTGGTGCGCGCGGGGCGGGGCGGGGCGGGGCGGGGGCGGCCGCAAGGGGCGCGCATCGGGGCGCGCCGGGGCTTACCCGCCATCGCGTCCGCGTGGCGGCCAAGCACCGCCAAGCACCGCCAAGCCGGATGGCTCTGGCGAGCGCAGACCAGACACCGGCGCGACTGGACGGTCGGGACGGGGCTGGACCAGGCTGGACCAGCCGGCGGCCGTGGCGCCACCCCGGTGTATCGGGCGCCGAGCTCTGGAGCATCGCGATCGACGCGATAGAGACGCGTGACGCGTGCGGTCCGCGCTCAGGGTCTCGGTGGCCGTGGCCGCGGCCCGCGGTCCCGCCCGCCCACGCCACCGCAGGCTGCAAGTGCAGGCTGCGGTTTGGTGGCACTGCGGCACTGTGTGGCACGGTGGCGACGCGTCGCCGGCAAAGGTTTCCTGATTTTGTCACCGCAGAGTGGCACGGTGTCGCCGCACCGCCAGCACCGCCAGCGGCAACGAGCATGGCGCCGCGTCGCGCGTTCGCAGAAACGGGTCCGTCATCGGAAGCAAGCGGAAGACACAATCGAGGCGCCATCGAGGTCCACCGTACCGGAGATTGTATCATTGGCACGTGGTGAACTACGGGCGCCTCTGGACCGGCCGGCAGCCAACACTCTCGCGGGCCCGAATCGCGGGGGATTATTTGGTCCAAGCTTGTTTCAAGCCTCCGTCTTCCCGCGCGTCTCTCTCCCGCCGTGCCACGCCGTGCCACGCCGTGCCACGCCGTGCTGCGCTGTACCCGCAGCCGCCCGGCCTGCCGCCGGCCAAGTGCGAACTGCGGCCCGGCGGCCCGTGGATCGAGGCGTGCTTTCTCTGTTGCCCAATTTGCGCCAAGGTTGCGCCTGCCGCCCTGACAGCCGCCATTTCTTATCGGCGCGGCCCTTGCGTACTTTTTGTCTCGTCCCTTCTGGTTGCCTCGGCTTCGGCCGCCTGGATAATAGTTTCCACCACAGCGATTCCCCCCGTGCCGCGGCGCCGCGGGCCTTCAAGGCGGAGAGCCTCGCCTTGCCTCGCCTTGCCTCGCCGCGCTCAGGGCCTCGCGGACCGCGTCGCGGACTCTGCGGGGAATCGGCGACCGGGAGGAGGATTTTGGATTTTCGGGTCCGGCGCGCGGCGTGGCGTGGCGTTTGGGTGTTTGCCGCGGGCAAGCAGAAGCAGGCTCGGAAACACTAATGCACGTGGCCGTTCACGTCCCGCCTGTTGGCCTAACCATCATCTCAAGGAAGCGGCGAAGCGGCGGGGGGAGGCGAGTGGTGTTTTGGTCGGAGCCACACACCACACTCCATCACGCCGCCTTCGGGCACCTTCGGGCCTTCGCCGACAGCCGGCTGACTGACGCATAGGCGGACGGCCGGGCGTTTCAACATGAATGTCACCCCGTGGTAAATGTGCACTGCTCGTCCTTCGTCGCGACAGTAGCGCAGTAGCAGCAGCCAGCGAGGCGCCTCTGGAGTCCCCCCCCCCTCCCTCGCCTCGCCCATCGCGCTGGATGAGTCAAAGCTCGGGGAATCGGCTGCTCGTTATTTAGCGCATGGGCAGGAAGTGCCCCCTCCCCCATCCCCCAAATCGGGGTCGGCCCCTCCGGTCCCCACGCCCCGCCACGCCCCGCGCAGCCAGGCCAAGCCAGACGCGGCCGTGTCAAAGGATGCTAATTTTTTCCATGTCGCTGGCCGCGGGTCATTATCTGGTGCACCGCTTGCCTCGATTGCCTCGCTTGCGGTGGCCATCCGCACCTGCATGGCGGGGCGGGGCGGGGCGAGCGCGAGTACTAGGGTCAGTGATTAGCGTACGCGGGGTTATTGTCCCCACAAGGCCGGCCTGCCGAGCGTGCCGGGGCGTGCCGCTCTATTTTTGATGCACGCGTTGCTCGTTGCCGGCGAGAGACGAAAGTAGTGTAAAGTACCCGATAGTCGTCCGCGGCGAGGCGACGGCCGATGGCGCGGTCCCCGCGGTCCCCGGAGCGCCGTCGCCGCCGCGGGTACTTGGGTACTTGACAGGCGATTGCCTCACGGCGCGCTGCGCAGACTCCTCGACGTCTCGGTACTCATACTCTCCAGCCGGCCGCCATTTTGTTTTCAAGTGCCGCGGAGCGACCCGGTCGCGGCGCGCGTGTGCGTCACGAGAGCTCCGAGGGGGACGACAGAAAGGTCAGAACCGGAGCCGATTCGGCGCGCCTAGACGAGTCGGGGCCGAAAAACGGATTGAACCGCGACATGACGGCTTGCTGGGGAAAGTAGTGTGTGTTTGGGCGCGCGGCGGTGGCAGGCCGCCGGCCGGCAGCCGTCGAAACAATATTGTCATTCCAGTGCGCCGCGCGCTGCGCGTCGAGTGTCGGCCGTCTCGGCCGCCTCGGCGTGCTGTTGCATGGCGGCGTGGCGGCGTGGCGGCCTGCAGCCCTGTTTGCCGAACGCGAGGCGTGGCGTTTGTTTGCTGAGCACGCAGACGTCGCAGACGTCGCCCTGCCTTAGCCTTCACCTCATTCGGCTCGTTAGTCGAGTCGTTACGGGGTGGAGGGGCCCGGCCGGCATCGTGCGTGTCTCGTGCGTGTCTCGTGCGCGCCCCACTGGAGCGCCTGCGAGGTAGGCCACCCAGCCGGCCGGCGCACGCAGCGGCTCTGCAGGACGGCCTACCCTAGACTTCGCAGGCGCCCCGCCGCCCACGCGCCACGCAGAGCGCAGGATGGGTTCCGGTCGGACACTGGAGCCCCGTTGGTCCTTCTGGAAAATTTGCAGTATTAGAAAGCGGTTCAGTCTCGATGCTCGGAGAATCACAAATTATTGGTGCCCCCCCCCCCTTTTCTCGCCAGAAGCGGTAGGGCTCCTCGTTGTTGCCGTTCGTGGGACGTCCTGGGTAAACCCCATCGGCCGGGATGCGCGAATTCCTCCTGCAGGCCTCGTGCCGAAAGGCCAAGCTGCGACCGGACCGAACGAATTTTCCTCTCACCCGTAAGGGTACCGTTGGGAGTCCATGTCGGCTCTGGAGGTGTGTTCGTGCTAATAGCTGGAAGCTTGGAAGCCCCTGACCGTCTAACTCATGTCGCAGGTGATCTCCGTCATGCCGCCTTTCGAGGGTTTCGACTGCACGACGGGCACCACCAAGGCTGGCCAGACCGCCGAGCCCGAGCTCAACAACAACGTCCTGCTCCTGGACAACACACCGGCGCGCAAGGAAGTGGCTGCCGAGGACGACGATGAGGAGTTGGTGGTGGACGACAAGGGCCAGCGCCTCGTGGACACGCCCATCCCCGCGGCCAAGGAGATCGAGAAGGAGGCACACAAGCGCGAGCTGAGGGGACGCCAACTCGTGTGGCACAACATCATCCTCATCACCGTCTTCCACGCCCTGGCGTTCTGGGCCACCTTCACCTACATCTTCGACCTCTCGTGGAAGTCGTGGATTTACAGTGAGTCCCCAATACACGACGCTTCTGGCGCCTTGTTGCAATGCAGTGGTCCTCACCCCTCTTGCTCTTTGCAGGCATCTCTCTCGGAGCCCTCGGGGGTCTCGGAGTGACGGCGGGCTGCCACCGCCTCTGGTCGCACCGCTCGTACAAGGCCGCCGCGCCCCTCCGGGTGTTCCTGGCCCTGTGCTACTCCATCGCCGGCCAGGTAATAACTAAAACTAGTTGGCGGTAACAGAGCGCCGAGGTGAACTTTGCTGTGAACTGAGGCCATCTCCGACCCACAGAACACGATCCTGGAGTGGGTGCGCGACCACCGCGTGCACCACAAGTTCACCGAGACGGACGCCGACCCGCACAACGTGAAGAGGGGCTTCTTCTTCGCGCACGTCGGCTGGCTGATGCAACGCAAGCACCCCGACGTGCTGCGGCAGGGCCAGAAGGTGGACCTCAGCGACGTGCAGGCCGACCCCGTCGTCCAGTGGCACCAGCGGTAAGCGTAGGCTTGCGTCGTTTCGTTTGTGGCGTCCTTGCTGCTTGCTGCTGACTAGCACACTGTCCTCACTGCCCGCGTGTTCCCCGCGCAGCCACTTCCTGCTCCTCAAGATCCTGCTCTGCTTCGTGCTGCCGCCGCTCATCCCGGTGTACGCGTGGAACGAGCCGTGGCACCTGGCCATCTACTCGTGCGCCGTCGTCCGCTACGTGCTGCTGCTCAACTTCACCTGGCTGGTCAACAGCGCGGCGCACATGTTCGGCAACAAACCGTTCGACAAGTAAGTAGCCGGATGGCCGGGGCCCGGCCGGGGCCGCGCGGTGGATGCGGCTTGAATTAAATGCTGGGCTGCAATGTCTGACCTGTCCTCCTCGCAGGCGCATCAACCCCACCGAGAACGTGCTGGTGTCCGCCGTGGCCATGGGTGAGGGCTGGCACAACTACCACCACGTATTCCCCTGGGACTACAAGACGTCCGAGTACAGCTACTTCTTCAACGCGACCACCGTCTGGATCGACATCTTCTCCAAGCTGGGCCTGGCCTTCGACTGCAAGACGGCCACGCCCGACATGGTGCGCCGCGTGGCGCTGCGCCACGGCGACAACTCTCACCCCGACCACAAGCGCGTCGAGAGCGATCACCACCACCCCGAGGAGGTGACGTACGACGAGTACCTGCGCGTCATCAAGGAGGACGACGTGTACACGGGCGTCAAGGACCTGCACAACGAGGAGGACGTGACGCGCTCGGAGAAGGGCAGAGCGTGAGGACCGCGGCGCGTCCACGTCCAGGATGACGTCCAGGATGGCGTCCAGGACGGCGTCGCGGACGCGCGCGCTCAGTGAGGACTGACTGATCCTGGCCCAGTCGTGGCGCCCCGTGCCGCCCGGCCTGCGCGTAGCGCCCTGTGCGGCTGTGCGTGCGGATTTGCGACGATTTGCCCAGAGCCGCTTGCAAATACGCCGCCGGACGCGGGCAAAGCGGCGCAGCGCGGTGGCCGGGCGAGGTGCATGACGACGCGAAGGCGCGTGGCAGACAGTGGCGTGCGCGAGGCGGAAGGGTTGCCTGCTTGGCGGGCGGCGGCCTTGCCGTGGCCGTGCCGCGCGCCGCGACACACCGGCAGGCCACCCAACCTACTCGAGGCGAGCAGACGCCGACTTGTGGGTTGTGGTTTGGCGGGCATCGAATGCAGCAGCCTGCCCCACGGCGACCTTAAAGGCTTCGCCGGTTGCTCGGCGCTGCTGGCGGGGGGGCGTCAAGCGGAGCCAAGCGGAGCCGGAATGTAATTTTCGAATGTTCGAGTTTGTGATACTTCGGGGCGCACTGTTAGACTGCCACAGGCCGGCATGCAGTCGGCATGCAGCCGGCAGGCCGCTGGCACGGTGCGCTTTAGCAGTGCGCTCGCGTGGCGTACAGGGGAACCGCTTTCTCTTGTAGCTCATAGTAGTGTGTAGACATAATATTATAATATAAATCTTGTTTTTGTGAACTTGTACTGAGTGGATTTTCTTTTGTAATAAATAAAATATCACAGATGTAGAAAGTGTTGTGAGGCGTTTTGCAGACAGGGAAAAATAGGCACCGAAAGCGATACAGTCGCCTTCATTTCACTCAAGTGCTCATGGCCGCACACCCCTGGTAACGAAAAATAAACCGTCGAGCAAGAGACCCTTCGATTCATACGAAGTTCTACTTACTTTTATCCATCTATCCCGCGGTTTGACACCTGCGTCGCATATTTTATGGACCCTTATTTATCCCGGCAAAATTTTTGGTGACGTTTGTGGACGAATGTTGTTCAAGCAAATGTTCAAAGAACATCTTTTCAATACATTTTTCTGGATGTTGAAGGAAGTTGACAAAAAATGATATAGCGTTTTATAACCAAGACAAAAGTATTTTTATTGCAACAATTATCAAATATATAATTTTTTTCGTCACTCCACGTACGATCAGTCAATGTTTTTGAATTTCTCCACCCACGATGGAAAATTCACAACAATCCGATAAGCTAAAAACGCAACCCGCATTTGAAGCACTCCATGCCGACCAAAAGAGACTTTTCTTAAGTAAACAGAAAAAGAGTCAAAAGGCTGGAGGACGCTACAATGCACGGCTATGTACGGCACGTCACTGGCTACTCTAGACATACAAGTATCAATAAATAATCAAAGCTCCTTCTCAAGAAACAAAAAGTGCAATCAAGAGCTCTATAAAAACAGTAGGCTAATTTTTGTTCATGTACAGGCTCAACATTATTCACTCTTGACATAGGATTATCACAACCATAGCTTTAAACTACATTATGCCGAATTTCATAAGATTTCCCGATCACCAATTACAAAACACTATCATTGAAGATGTTTGCGGATGCCCTTACCCAGTAAGTCCAAACTCTAGCCTACTCGTTTGTACCTAACTTTTTCAAATAGTATCTATCGGCAAATTGACAAAATTTGAGAGAATTATAGAAAAGTCGCAGACAGATAATGAAACACTCTTGACATAGGATGAAAATCTTTGGAGGAAGAAATAAAACTATGGCCTCAACCGACCACGCGGTGTTGTGGGAACGCTCAGCCCCAAACTCCGCCTGCTCTGCAGCCGGCGCCTCTTCAGTCCTTGAGCTCTCAGTAAGACATGAGACAGTGATACACCGATTCGATGTCGATACAATGCGATCTCGACTTAACGCCCTCGGCGTACACTCTACTTCTTGTTAGAGAACGTGTCAACCAGAAAGGGCTCGCGCCGCAGAGGAAGTCGGTTCTACTTCCTGGGCACACATTTCAGTAGTTAAAAACAGAAAAGCCGTGTCACAATAATGAGCAGAATCTGACACCAAAAACACAGATCCATAAGCCTACAGTTGAAATAACATGATAACTACATACTTAAAATTAATGTTGAAAAATTGTGCCCCACTCATTGGGTTGCAGAATCAACAAAGACAGTATCCAATAAGCTACGTTATATCACAGAAAACGTTATGTCACGTGAGAAGTCAAGCCACCGAAAATAAGATTTCCTTTCATGCGCGTGTCTGCATGCTTCTACTAAAAACGTAATGTTCTAACACAAATTTTAGAAAAAATTGCCTTTACTTGGTGGACTTCCCTTAACATACTCTGAAAATGAAAAAAAAACCTACTATATTGTGGATAATAATGAGAAGAGTCTAAGTCATAGCACTGGGTAAAATTATTACAAAGAAGGTTGAAAAAACATAAAATTTTGTCTTTCTCTATCGACACGCAAACCAATTAAAACTTAAGGCGAATCTACAACCCAGCTGTTGACGCTTCGTAACAACCCATGGCACAGAAGTTGTCTTGGACAGACTACATTCACATTTTGAGTCGCAATTAATGTGACACCGGGCACTCATTCTCTCACAACACGCTCACACGCTCGGACACACACACAAGCACGCACTTTCTCACACACATGCACGCATACTATGTACACGCCCACCTAGAGGGTGTCTAGGTGGACTTCTTGTTGAGGATGTTGGCCATCTGCCGGTCCTCAGGGGTCATGTCCTTGTCTCCCCAGCCCCAGACTTCGTGGCTGCCGTCACCGGTCCTCTCCACGCGGGACTTGACCATGGCGGAGGGCACGGTCTTGAGGTCGTAGGCCCAGCCCAGGCGCGAGAAGAAGTCGATGAAGGCCGTGGTGAAGTTGCCCCTGTAGTTGCCCAGCTCGGCCGCCTTGTAGTCCCAGGGGAAGACGTGGTGGTAGTTGTGCCAGCCCTCGCCCATGGCACCGATGGAGACGCCCAGGTTTTCGGAGGGGGCAATGGACCTGCACAAGGGAATCCGTTAGAGGAATTGCGAGACACTGAGGCTGAAAGGTACGGACAGGCGGTTAAAACACTCACTCATCGTAGGGGCGGTTTCCCCACTTGTGGGCGGCGCTGTTCACCAGCCAGGTCATGTTGAGGGTGAACACGTAGCGGAACATGGTGGCCACGAACCACGAGTTGGTGAAGGTCTCGTTCCAGAGGTACATGGGGATCATGGTGGGCACGATGAAGCAGGTGATGGGCATCAGGATGAGGTAGTACCTGAAACACAGGAAAGGGATTCCTTAGCATACGATCGCAGGGAAACGCGCGCTGTGCGGCTCACAGGTTCGCAAACAAAACCAAAACTTTGCAAAGAAAGGCAACTTACTTCTTCTGGAAGGCGAGCACGGGGTCGGACTCCAGGTCGGACATGTCGATGCCCTTGCCCTTGGAGATGACGTCGGGGTGCTTGCGGCACAACAGCCAGCCGACGTGGGCGAAGAAGACGCCGCGGTTCAGGTTGTGGGGGTCGGCGTCGGTCTCAGTGTACTTGTGGTGCACACGGTGGTCGCGAGCCCACTCGATGACGTGGTTCTGGAAGGCGATGGTGTTGAACACGGTCAGGATGATGCGCAGGGGAAGGTTGGCCTTGTAGGCCTTGTGGGCCCACAGACGATGGGCGCCGGCAGTGATACCCAAGCCGCCAGCCCAGTACATGACGATGGCTGCAAGAAGAAATACATCGGTCAGGCTCATTTCGAGAATCGACCATCGACTGTAAAACACACACACCAAAAATCCAACCCACCGAAGGCGACGGTGAGGAGCTTGGCGGAGGTGAGGAGCAGGTAGCCGCCGTAGATGGCGGCAATGTGCAGGTACAAGAAGATGGCAACGTTTCTCCAGACGATGCGGATCTTGTGGTTGGGGTCGCAAGTCTGGGGGACATGGGTGTCCACCACCCTGTCCTTCAGTCCCTCGATGGGCTTGTCGTCATCCTCGAAGAGCACACCGGTGGGTGCGTTGGTGATGTTGGGGGCCATGGCGAACCTGCGGCAGACAGTGAAAGGCGAGTTGAGACAAAGTCGCGAGCATTGAGCGCAGCCTGGCGTACCCGCGGGTGCGCGCACCCTCCTACACCAGAGCACGATAAGCTGCCTACGCGCAAGGCGCGGCCATGGCGGCGCGCTGCCCGGGGCGCCCGGGTGGCCGGGGTCACTGTCTGGGGCCAGACAAAGACAGAGCTCAAACACTCCCCCACCCCTTTCTTTCTCTACCAGCTCACCTGGCCGTGAACCCGCGACGCCAGGGCGTCCCGTGGCCTACAGCCAGGCGCCCAAGCCTGGTGGCAGCACCGCCACGACGACGCGCTGGTCGCGCAGGACGCCCTGGACGTCGAGGCGCAGGACGGGGCGCCACCCTGCAGGGGCCGCCACCCCGTGACGGGCGGGACTGGCAAGACTCTCGGCCGACGAGCGCCCCAGCGTAGCGCACCGAAGCGCAGCGACGCCCTGCCCGCAGGACCGCCAGCCCCCCACTGAGGGGGTTGTTGCCAAACGCCAAACGCGGCGCCCTTCTCTTGTTCGGGGCTTCGGGGCCCCCAGCGCACGCTGCCAACCCCCCGCGGCCAACCCTTCTGCGCCGCGTGGTACAACAACCGGCGGCGGATGGCGACCTCGGCCGGCCCCGCCCCGGGCCGAGGAGCCGAGGAGGCGGCACCGATACACGCTCCTGGGCCGGTTTTATCCTTGCCGGTAGTCCTACGTCTATGACGGAGTCTGGCCGTAATTTGGCGTCGGAGTTGGTGGCCCTGAAGCGTCTTCCGAGGCTTCGTGGCTCCGTGGCGTAGAAACAAGAGAGCCCCAAATCATGTTTCCACAACAATCCCGAGGGCAGGCGGGGCAGGCGGCAGGCGGGGCCGGGAGCACTGGGAGGGCCCGTAGCGCTAGGCCACGCCAGGCGCACTCGTGGGTCACTCGGCGATTTTGAGGTTATGGAGCGGTGCGGCGGTGCGGCGGTGGGAAGGGCGCGAGAAAGGGGAACATGGCTTTGGGAGGAAAGGACGGGTTGAGGCGGCCGGCAGGACGGGGCGGGGCGGGGCGGGGCGGGGCGCGCAGAGATAGGGCCATGACCTTGGCGAGTCAGCTGGCCTTAATCAATACGAGTGGGAGGGAGAAGGGCGTCACGTGACCGCTTCCCGCCCTTGCGCTTGAAACTGAGAGCTCGCGCGACGAGGCGGGAAGGGCCTGCCGGACGACGGTTGCCGCCGAAGTCGACGAGGCACTACGCGACGTCGTCGCCGAGCTCCGCGGCCACCAGGTGCGAGGGGCGCTCGAGCAGCAAACTTACCGGCACGGCGTTCAGAACGACTGGCTCGGCTATGGACACGCGGCGTCGTCGGCGTGGTGTCTCGGCGGGTTGCCGGCGAAGAGTGGCACCGGGCGGCACCGGGGCCGGCCCATCCTGGCCGCCGTCGCGGACCGCCACACCGCCGTGGCCACGGCCCGGTCGGTGGGCCGGCCGGTCATATCCAACGCGGAGGGGAGGGGCGGCCAGGCGGCGCGGCCAGGCGGCGCGGCGCGCGCGGATTACAGTGTCATACGGGGAACACGCGGCCGGCGACGGCTCCGCGATCACACCACGCCGCGGCTGCCGCGGCCCGCGCGCGCCGCCCCACCCCGCACCGCCTCAGAAGACGCGGCGACACGCAGGCCCTCTGTGACCGACCTGGAGGGCGACAGGCTCGGCGACAGGACAGCCCGGCCCGGCGTGGCCATCGGCCGCCTTGCCGCGCATTGCCCCGCCCTGCCCGCAACGCACAAAAAGCATGACAGACGGCCGACAGTTCGTGATGAGAGCAGCGCGGAATCGCGGCCACGACATGGAGCGGTCAACCACAGACAACCAAAGAAATCGATGCCGGTTTCAACCACTGTCATCTATAGGGTTCTATTCACCTAAAGAGAGTGATTTTCACTACATTGTTGGTAATCAATTTTCCCCAGGAATGGCCACCCGATGGGAATGCTGCATTTACTGGGGTGTGGCAACAGCGCGATCTCGGAGTGCCGATCGATTCGCGTCACGGCTGAGCGGCGCAACTGCGTCGGGCTTCCCTTACAGTCACTTGGCCCTTTTGCTCCGGGACGGCCGGGACGTTGTCGCTTGCAAAAATGGGTCCGGCCGCCGTGTTTTTCCCTACACGTGACATTGCGACGGAAGACAAGAAGGGAAGCGGCGAAAAAAACAAAAACATAAAAAGCGAGCAGTCGGATTGGTTCGCCGGGTTCCGCACGCCATACGCCAAGCTGGCCAAGCGCACGCACGGCCGGGCCGGGCGTTGTGCCCGCCGGCCACCGCGTGATCCAACCGCGCACGGCACAGCGCCCTCTCCAGCAGCGCGCCGTCTCTCTCGCACTCGGCCGACGGCGCAAGGCACAGGTGGACGCGGCCGGCTCTGGACAACGAGGGCATTCATGACGGGCAGGGGGCAGATCCCTATCGTGTCCGCGGCCAGCCCGGACCAGCCCGGACCAGCCCGGCGCGCGGACTGCAGTCCGCATGCGGACGCCAACTGGCGGACGTGCCCTCGGCGGCTCAACCAGCACGCTACCAATAACTGTAGTGCCTCGTCTATGCGGACACGTTCAGCGGACACGTTCAGCGGACACGCGGATCGGCTCCTGGAAGCCATCTCTTCCTTCAGGATTTATCCCTCTCCCGACCGGCGAAAATAGTTCCGAACCGTTTGGATAAAACACAAAACGACAAGAATGTAACATTCATTTCTCTGCGGGCGGCCTTCTTGCGTGGTGAGGCGCGCCCGGCTGGCCGCGGGGGGGCGGGGCGGGGCGAGGCGTCCTCGCGGCACCGGTCGCAACCGCCCTTCCTCCACGCGTCGCCGTTCCCACGCCGGTAGGCAAGCCACCGCACCGCAATGAGCAGGGCGCTGCGAATAGCAGCCAATAGCGCGCGCAATGACATCATCGACATCATGCACTAATTTTGACGTGCACGGATGGATCCAGAGACGGATTCGAGGGAGGGGGGGATGGCGCAAAAGTTGGCTACCTACAGGGGCAAAGAAGACTGTTGTAGTGCCTACCTTCCGCCCCCCTGGGGGACCCCCCCCCCTCCCTCTCTCCGGATCCGCGCCCGATCACGTGAACCACACGTGGCGGGCAGGCTATGCTAATGTCCGGACAATTACTACATACAGGTTTCGGGTGGCGCGATCGGGCAATCTTTTTATTTTTCCCGTCTTTTTACTCGACTCGAAATTCTCATGGACCGAGTGCCTGCCGTCGCCTTTGACCTACAGGACCACGTGGAAGTCGAATGGACAAGACGAAATGCGTCGACCGGTCGTCGAGAATCATTCATGAAGCGCTCGGCGAGCCGAAATCAAGTCCCGATTAAATGCAGAATACATCAAGGTAAATGCGGCATAGCCGGGCATCGCAATCGGAAGTAATGGCGGCATAATCGGAGCGGATGCGCTGTTTTTCCGCAGCTCGCACTCGAGGAGGAAAATGCCCTTTAACTTGAAGGCAGCGTTATCGAGAGGTCGGTGCAGGTGTGCCGCCGAAGTGTGGCAGTCACGTTTCGCAGCGTGTCGCGGCGTGTCGCGGCGTGCCGCGGTGACAGACGGCTTGCACTCGGGCCGTGATTGCCGAGATAGCGTGAGAGGTTCGAGCACCTCAAGTTGAGCAGACGACTGGCCAGTGACAGTAGTTGTTGCGAAGTGACTGGCTGTCTTTTTCGGCGGGACCACTCCACGCAGCGGGCGACCGGGCCGGCGGGGCCGGCGGACGCATTCCGAACGGACAGTCTCTGTCTCTCTCGCACCCATGGGCGCACCCGTAAGGCCGCACGGGTGCGAGAGAGACAGGCCGACGGACCCAGCCCGGCGATAATATGGCTCCGTTACCGAGCGCCGCCGTCGACCCGCAACCGGCCCTAGCCGACGACCACGTCAACGCCGCGACGAGCGGACGGAAAAGAGGAAAAAGAGAACAAAACTTTTTTTCCAGCACGGGCGGTGCGTTTGAACTGGTTTGAACCGGCCGCGGCCCGCGAGTGTCGACACGATGGGTACAAACAAGGCACGCCGTGAGTCCTGAGGAAGGCCAGGAAGGCCAGGAAGGCAGGAAGGGTAGGGCATCTTGCATGTAATACGGGCGGGGCGGCGCGGTCGGCGCGGTCCTCAAACCGGCCGGGCGGGGTGAGCGTTGCGTCGCCGCGGGCCCGCCGCCCGCCGCCCCGCCCCCACCCCGGCCGTCCTGCAGCCGCGGTGCATCGCGCATCGCGCCCGAGGGGACTCGGACTTCCCTGGAGAGCGCGGCGCGGCGCTCTGGCGATGGCTCTAGCTCATCAGGGCAGAGCAGGAAGCGCCGAACGGGCACCGACCCGGCCGCGGCGGCCACCTGGCCCGAGCAAGCTGGTGACGCCTGTGTGAACCAGGGGGTCACTGGGCCACACCGCTGGCAAAAAACGGTCTTTTTGCTGTCCGCACGCGGCCCCGCGAGGGCCCCGCCGCCTCGCTCCAGGCCCCCAGGCCTCCAGGGCTTGATTGACGGGGTGCTGCGCGTGGCGTATCGACATGTGGGTGACCCGGCCCGCGGCCCGACCAGAAGTAAAGCGTTACATCATGCAGCCAGCCAGCGGCCAGCCAGGGCGTTGTCGGCCAAGTCGGCTCGGGCCAGGCCGGCGCCGAGCCGGGCGCAGCGTCAGCGTCACAACGGCGCAGCCTTTCTGGGACTTGTGCCCTCCGCCACCGCCACACTGCCGCCCTGGGCCGCCCTGGGCCGCGCCGGTGCGGACGGACTCCAGCGGCTCTTCGTCTGTCTCCGCGCGGCCAGGCCGCCGGCCGTGCCTTCGCCGCGCCGTGCCCTGGCCGCACCGTGCAGCTGAGGTAACGGCGTTATGTCACCGCCACGCCGCGCCACGCCGCGAGGCTAGCGCCGCGGTCCACACAGCCGCCCCGGCCTGGCGCCCCGGCGTCTCGGAAGCAGGTCAAGAAGGATGTGTATGTGTCCGACCGGCGGCACTGCGTACACTCGGCGCCCCCGCCCACACACACACACACACACTCGCGTGACCTATTAGCATGGCAATGGACTGGCGAGTGACAGTGCATCAACATACATGAGCACAGCGCGCGTACTTAGCAAGTTACTTAGTCCATCCTAATTTAATGCGGCGTGGCGGGCAGGCCGGGCGGCGACGTGCACGGCGCACGCGCACCGCGCTCGCCTAGACCCGGGTCGCGTGAGCCTCATTGGCGCCAACGCGGACGTCGCGTGCACGTCGCGGCACGGCCAATAATGACTTTAATACTGGTAGTTGAATTCGGCACAGACTTTGTTGGGCGAGGTGCTTGCCCCTGTTTGACGTCCATGCGCTCCATCGGCAACGTGAGAAAGTACCGAGGCCTCGACCAGCGCGACGTGGGGGCTCAATGCCCTGCCCGCCCTGCCTCAAGAAACAGTGGGCCCTGCTATTACGGAGGGTTCGCGGCCGGGTTCGCGGCCGGGTTCGCGGCCGGGTTCGCGGTATCGAAAGCGTGGGCGGCATCCACTGCATCACAGTGCAGGTCCCACTCAGTGCAATTTGAACCGTGGGGTTGACGCAGTAGACGACGGGCCCTGGACGGGCCGGCGGCGGAAGTTTCTCGAAAGTGCAGCGGTCAGGATGGGGTGTGGCCGCGGCGCCGCGGCCTCGGATGGCGGTCAAGTGCGAATGCACGCCGGCGACGGGAGTTCGGCGGCGTGGCCCGGGCGGCTCGGGTTGCGCAATGGACCGCAGAGATTGCCATCGTGGAGCTGGGCGGCTCGGCCAGGCCCCCCGAGAGCCCCGGATCCTGCCGCCACCGTCACCAGCACGGACAGCATCGCTGGCATCGCCGGCATCGCCCTGCCGGCGTGATAGTACACCGCGGTGGCCCCAGCCGGCCCCAGCCGGCCCCAGCCGGCCCCAGCCGGCCCCAGCCCACGCCCGCGTCGCCCTATCAAACTGCGCGGTGGGCGCTTCGCTTCGCCTGCTTCGCCTGCTTCGCCTGCTTCGCCCTGCCTCGCTCCGCGTGGCTCCGCTTTCGAGATGCGGCGGGTCGCGACCCTGCCGCTGTCACGCCACTGTGCATCGCGGTGCCGCGACCGTAAACAAAACGGATAGCGCCGAGTGCGCGAAAGGGAGCCGCCGCCGTTGTCGGGGAGCCCTGGCACCATGCTGGCACCCCCGGCCGGCATGCGGCCGGGCCGGGCCTGGGGTGGCGGTCGTGCGGTCGTCGGGGTGGTGCGGAATCGCGGACGCCAGGCCGGCTGCCCGGCAGGGGCTGGCAGATTAAAGTAAGCCGCCGGGTCAGCCGACGCAGCTCAGGCTGATTCCCTGTCCCTCTCGCACTCGCGCGGCCTTCCGTGCCGGTGCGAGAGAGACAGAGCGCTGTTCGGAACGGACCAACACACCGGCTACGACCGGCTCATTGTGGCGGTGCTGCCGGTGCGGTCCGCCCTCCGCCCGGACAATGAGGCGTGGCGGGGCGTGGCGGGGCCGGTGTTGCCGGCCGGCCTACTGCGATTGTTGGCCAATCCGCTCAATCACAGACTTATTAAGCCCGCCAGCCCCCCGCGGGTTTCAACTAGCCCGCCGTGCAGCACTACAAGGGTGTCACAAGATTTTCTCTTGTCAGCGCACGCGATGCTTATGTTCCATCGATACCGCGCGCTGGCGTCACCCTCGACGCGTTGCATACGTGTTGCAGTGTGTCAGCCGTCACGCAGAATACGCATTGCATCTTTCCACATATTTAATTCTGAGCGATTTTAGGAGGTTTACAGATCTTTTCGTCATACAGAACTCGAGTCAAGCTGGCTCTGGAGCCGGCACGATGCCGACAAGACTTCGAGATTTTGAGACCAGAGCAATGGAGCCGCTATCACGCACTACCCGTGAGGCGTTCATTTGGTTAATAAGAAGTTTCTGCTGGTATTTTTGGGAGGTCCCTTAACAACCAGGTCGGGCGACCAGTCAGGTCCGTGGATCGGCACGGCGGGCATGTGCGGCATCGCGGCGAGGCGGCGAGGCGCGGCGTACACTCCAAAAAGTTTGGCCGGCCCAACAAAGTTTTAAGGCGACTGATTCGGCTGGCTAAAGCGTGTAACAGGCATTGCCCACGGATGCGTTGCGCAAACTAATATTTTGCCCTGACAACTAACTTACTGGAATAAACGACTAAAAGTTTTCTCGACGAACTACATTTGTCAGTTGGCAATCAAATTTCGTCTGAGTTGGCCCACTTTTTTTTAGTGGTGTAGCGGCGGTGAAGCGGCATTTGACGCGGCAGCACCGTGGTCCGCGCCACTCGCACTCTGCCAATGAGAGGAGCGAGGAGACTCACGAGCCCTCACGCCACCGCCGCCACCGCGCCTCCCCCTACCACCGTGCGCGCCGCCACGCCGCGCCACGCCGCGCCTACCGCAGAGGAGGACGACGCGGTGGCTACGGGATCCTGTCTTCGATCAGACATCCAGTTGATTAAATTAAGTGGTAATGCTCATTCATTCACAAGTCATACAATGACTTTTCGTGGAGTCACAATAAGTTATTGATCAAAGGAAAACCGACAAATAGTTCTCAACTCACAAGACAGGTCTAAATGGTTAGTCTAAAAGTCATACGTGTCGTAAATTGGACACGGTACTCGCAAAGCTACTAGTGAAAAGAAAACAAAGGGACGGAAGGTCGATTAATTTATGGCTTCTCACGATTACCATAAATGGCACGTCCGAAAAAACGAGACGACACTGTCGGGTGACGAAGACGGACTGCATGCACGTGCGTGTAGTGTACCGAGTTGAAAAAGTTGAGCCCGCGCGGGACCGTGCATGCAGATTTGGCGAGTTTGCGCGCGAGGAAGAGAAGTGCTGCTTTCAGCCGAGCAAACACTCGGGTGTCAATCCCTGGACCGCACACTCGCCGAGCCGGCGAGGGGCGCGAAGATGCCGCCTCCGTCCCACTCCGTTCCCCCGTGATCGGGCTGCTGGCCCATGGACGCCCCTGTCCGCCGGCGGCAGCACGCGGTCCGGGAGTGGTCGGCCCGGGTCGGCCACACAGCCTCAGGTACTTCGCGGCAAGCTTTGGGCATCGGCCAGAGGCTCCCGGCCGCCCCCTCCCCCGTTGACACTCACGGTGTATGTGTGCGGCTTCCGCCAAAGTGCCATTCTCGTGCGAGCCGCTATGCGGGCACTAATTCGTTCGCTAATTCCCCTCTGCGCAGTGGCGGTGGGGTTGCACCTGGGCAACGGACTAATGACTTCGGAAAACTACTCGAGCACCACTGGATCTAGCGGAACGATATCGCGGCAACGAGGCGTCGGGATGCCGTGGGATTAGTTGTTTTAGCACCTAGACCCGGCTCCAACAATTGAATTTGACTCTCATTTTGAAATGGCAACACAATTACGATGGCAATATTAGTCAGAATTGCAACATGATTGCTTGTCAGGGGCTATAAAGATGCACCCAGAAACATCTGCAGTCAAGCTCTTATGGTGTTTCTGGGTCAATTTACCACGCACATATATGATGGAAATTTTCACGCTTGTATGCTTGTCAATCAATCATGTTGCAAGGGTTGAAACTGCTGCAACCACTCAACACTGTCCCACAACTACCCCCAATTGAACTTACCGGCAAGTGGTATCCGGATGGAAGACGAGCACTCGGCCACTGACTCTCTGACACTACACGTCACTGTTCACTGCCAGCTACACTGGAACTGTTCTCGCTGGACGGGATCCGTCCACTTCCGCGGACACAGGCGTTCTGACGCTGAGCCTCCACCGGCGCCCCTCTATAATGACAACGCGTGCACACGGCGCCCCTCCGCTCCCCCTCCCCCGCCCCCCATCTCCTGAGGAATCAGCCCTACCCCTACCAAAGTCCGGCCAGCCGGTACCCCCTCCTGGCGCGGGCCGCGTGTTCGCGCTCGTACGGCAAGACGGCCATCCGCGGCAGCTGGCGGCAGCTGGCGGCAGCGGCCGGCGTGGACCCGAACCGCCCGAACGCCACATCCGGCGGCCCGAGCCGCGGCCGAGCGCGCCGAACGTGAGCCGAGTGTCCTGGCGGGCCGGCTGCCGGCGGCTGCCCGGTGTCGCGGCGTGGGAATCACGTGTGAGTGTTGATGTTGTTTTTGGATGGTGCGAGCGCTGCGTGGCGGCGTGTAGCGGCGTGCCGGCCGGGGCATGCCTGGGATGCCATGTGGGTGGATTTGCGGGCCAACACGTGTTGGGTCCAAAGTCCGCGCCGCGCTGACCTGATCGCTCGCGCCGCCTGCGTCCGGAGCGACTCATCGAGTCCAGTGGCAAGGGACCACGTACCACCGCGACCGCCACCGCGACCCCCCACGGACCGCCACGTACGCGCTGCATGGCGGCGCGGTGGTGTGACTCCATGGCGTGACTCGCCGTCGCGACGGCCACGCGCCCCGACGCCAGGGAAGCCCGAGGGGAAGCCACCCTGCGGCGAGCTCTGCGGTCCTGCGGGTGCCGCCGGAACGACCTCGGCTATTTGCCCTTGACGGCGGCCTCAGCCTCAGCCACTCGTCCTTGGGGACCGAGTCCCAAACCGGTCGAGGGACGTTGCCGGGAAGTGATCGCGGCACAAGTGCACCAACGCGGTCTCTCAAGGGCCAAATCGTGAAAGCAACTAGACACACCCACACGAGTCGAGGTCACTCCATGCGTCATTGCATGTATAATAGAGGTGTAATAGCAAGACATCCCCAAAACTTTCACTGTTATAGGGTTATTATGGGTGACTTTAACCGAAATTCGGGAAATTTCTGGGCGTATTGGAGTGTAATACACGTAATAGTCGGGTCACTGGTTTTGAGAGTGCATCCCTCGCACCCATTCAAACGGACACGCGATCGTTGAATCAACAGGGCAAACAAAGCCAATTTTTGTCGCAAACTTGTGACAATAGATCCATTTCATTCGTCGCCGATTGAAGACAAAAGAAACAAAAAACAAAAACGACCGGGGATGCTTTGCAAAAAATAAAAAGCACTGTCAACAACACAAGCAGGAAAATTAATAATAATTTAGGCACCTGCTTTCGGGAAAGGAGGAGAACCGCTGCAGGGCACCTGGCGGAACCTGTCGGACTTTGACTCGGCGAAAACATTTTTCAAACTCTCCGACCGTTCAAAGTCCGCTCCAGTTGGCCAAATTGCACGCCACGCAGTCAGCGGGCGAGTGGTCCCGCTTGTATCTTCCTCGCTGAATCACGGGACGGGGTGCTTGCTCGCGGGGAGTCAGGACGGACAGTCCAGGGTCGGGGTCCACCTTGGATTGTCGTCGGGCGAATTAGACGAAACGGAATGAAATGGGGGAATGGGAATGCGTCCGTCTGCCCGGCCGTCGCGGGATTGGATGCCGGCACGCCACAGGCACGCGGCGGCGGCCGCGGCACGCACAGACGACCTGGCCCGGGGCGGGCTGTGACCGGTACCAGCCTTTGGACCTGTCTGCGGGACGCATCGAGACTCAAGTAGTACAACTGCACCCGCAGTAAAACCGAATCACTTCACTTCACTCGGAGTTGGCGCATCGTGGACTTTGATCTTGTTTGGCAGGTGCTGCAGGGAGTGTCGAAAAAAAGTGACTCTTGCTTTACTGTGGCATGGGAACAGAAGTACACAGCGCATACGTGAAGCACACATCCCCGATCGAGTGTATACCCGCCAAATAGATGAAATGTAAAAAGAAAATGGCAGAGCAAATCGCAAATTTTCTTTAAAAGGTCAATAGTGTCATTCTGCTTGACACTAGTATTCCGTTTTCTAGGGGGTTTGTAAATCCGCGACGCAATGATGCAATGCGTGTGAATTCTTAGTCAGGCTTTCGTGGCGTTTCCTCGGGATTATTTCGTTTATATGGGCAGTGCATGAGTTTCGGTTGCGCGAGGGGGCCAACGATTGGATTGTTTGATTTACATCAACTCTCATGTTTTGAAATTCAAGCGTCTAGAAAGGCAGTAATCCCGCTTAAGTGACCTGATATTCAAACGACCGTGCTTCGCGCGTTAAAATAGCCCCATGACGTGGATGAAGTGCCATTAGGTGGGCATAGTGGGCCCAATCAGCAAGTCCGACAGCAAATCGGTGGCCTTGCCAGGACTGCAGCAGGTCAAGGCGATGCCTCGATGTTGTTGCCCGTGGGACAGCTTGCAGAAAGGGGCGTCGGCGGAGTGTGGAGGAGACTTGAGCTTCGGACGGGTCAACGGCAAGCACTGCACGCCTCCGAGTCCGCGTGGCTGCGCCAGGACTTGACGTGCCGACCCGGACGTCAAACTAGCCGGCGTGTTTGACTATGCAAGCGTGGCTGGTTCAAGAATCAAGGGCAAGAACCGCAGACAGTGTCGCCGGCGGCGGCGGCACTGAGGTTGGCTCTGGTCGGTTTGACGCTTTTTCGACTAACTCAGTACAAACCCAACCCACGTCAAGCCCCGTCAGGCCCACTACGAAGGCCAAACCCACGTCAAGCCCACCTTCCTTAATGGGCTTGCAAATCTATAAGTCCGTCTGGCTGCTGCCAGCGCTACCGTCTGGTAGCCGCACGGTCAGGCCGGAAGACCCCTCGGGTCACCTCGACGAAACATCCGACAGGTGCTGCCCGCGGTGCTACCCTTCAGTAGGCAGAGGTTCTCTAGTAGCGTCTGCTCACGGGCGAAACGCTTGACGGATTTGCAAGCCCACTAAGAGACTCAGGATGGACGTTGGCTTTGGCCGCCCACATATGCTTCGTCCACTCGCCGTCTTTTGGGACTTCTTCGTCTCCACGCTCTTGCCAACCCGTTACCTATTTTTCAGGCAGCTTCACCGGCTTCAGAGGAGGGCCTCCCTCCCCTTCTTTCCGGATACACACCTTCCCAGTGCCCTGTGACGAAGCGGCGAGTTTGCAACTCAAATGCCAGAAATAACGAGCGGAATGATGGTGGGTGCATCGTCGCTGTGGACGCCGAGGCGCGACGTGAGGCCGGGGTGGGAGGAGAAGACGTCCCCGATAAGACGACAAGCTGCCGAGCCGGCCAGAGCCCTTCGGTGGCCGTGATCTTGAATTGGAGGGTTAGAGGACCTCGTAGTGACCGCGATCTTGAGCTAGAGTGTCCGAGGAACTCGGAGTAGTGACCGCGATCTTGAGCTAGAGTGTCCGAGGAACTCGTGGTGACCGTGATCTTGAATACGCGAACCTCGCGGTTCACACCGTGAAGCATGGCCGCTCGATTCGGCTGAATTGGCGTAGACATGTCCGCTGCACGCGCCTGGCCGGCCATGCAACGTCAATCTGAAAGCGAATATTCAGCCGTCTCCCAGGCGCACTTCCGACGCCGTGGGACTTCGGGGAAGTGCCGGTCCGAAGTGCCGGTCCGAAGTGCCGGCCCGACGGAAGGCCCGACGGAAGGCCCGGCCGGTTGAGCAACCACCGGATGGATTTCGGTGGATCACATGAGCGACCTTGCGCGTCGTTGCGCAAAACTTAGCCCATTTTATCCGGCAGGGGCGTCAAAGTCCTCGGAGCCGGAATTGCCATGCGTCGATAAACAATATTATTCTTCGGGACGCGACGCGCGGCAGGAAGACGAATACGAAATGCGGCGGTGAAAACTAAACCCAGCCTTGGAAAAAAGGCCGTGCCAAACTTGGGGTGTGGTGGCGGCGCGAGGCGACGCCAGGCGGTGCGCTGTGTCCCGCTGGTCCTGCGGCGTGGACTACTTGTCGGCGTCCGGGCGCAGCGGGGCGCTGCTAGTCATCCTGGACGACGACGCGGCGACGACGCGGCCCCCGGCGTCGTGGCGCCGCAGGGCTGTCCTGCCCATTTGGGCCGCGGCCACGCCCAGCGCCTCGCCCAGCGCCTCGCCCCGCTCGCCCATTGTACGCCGAGAAATCTAGGCTGCCCTCGAGCCTGCCGGCTTCCGCGTCGATGACAGTCCGCTGCGGCTGTCTCGGCCTGTCTCTGTCGCACTCGCAGGGCGAAGGGCGTCCCGCAGGGGTGCGAGAGAGACAGAGCGACGAAGCACACCGCTGATTGGAGGCCACAAAGGGTCGGCACGCGACGAACACGCACGCGGGGACCATCCAGTGCTACTCGCCGGCGGTCAGAGGCTTGGATCCAGTGGAGAGGGGGGGGGGGGGCAAAAGCACAATCGACTCTCTTTTGGCACCTAGATAGCTGCCTGAAAGGTGGGCGTAAGCCATGGGTGCACTCTTTGCTCCGGTAAGTAGGCAAAGTGCTATTTTCCCCTCCCTCAGGCCGGCTCTGGATCCACGAGAGAAGCCTCATTGTGTAGGAGGCATTCCCAAAAAGACTCAGTTAATTGACCGTCCATTCTGTTCGCAGCGAGCAAGCCGGAGCAAGCGGTGCCCCACGGGCAGTGTAGTGCGATCCAATGGCAGATAGGCGCCGCCAGATACAGTATGTAGATTAATTTCTCCAGATAGCCACCCACTCGACCGCGGGCCAGGTGGCGGCCTCTGGCAAGGTCGAGGGGCATCCCCGATGGAGTTTTTAGTTTCTCGCGGCGCGCGGCAGCGGCGGCGGCAGTGTCCCGGAGACACGGCCGCCCGGCAGGCACGACGGGCACGACCCGTGCCCAGCGGATGCCGCGCCCGAAAGCAGCTGGCGCGACAAGGCACCGTGTTTGGGTAAAAACAACTGACAACATTTTGACGGGCGGCGTGATAGCCGCGCACCTGATTGATGGCCAGATTGGCAGGGAAGCGACCTTTGGCCGATCTGCCGCCCCCATGACGCGAAGCCTCGGCAGTGGCGCATCTTGCTACA